AGGTATCGAGGATAGTTTACTCGTCTTTGCTGATACACGTGTACTCTTGGGTACGCGCGCATCCTGCGAGGTAAGAGCGAGTTAAAACGTCTCACTCTATGATTGAAAGTTGTGAGTGCGACCTGACCAGATCGGGACAGCCTGGACCTTTGAATGACCGAAAACATAACGATGCATCGAGGAGCAATTCCATGAAGGGTTAGTGTATCCAGGAACTGGATGGTTTTATCAACTAGAACTAGTGGAGTTATGTCTTGTTGGCAAAGATCATTTGTGCCCATATCTATGCACAAAATGTCAATTGGTCTTGAACTCATTTTCTGACAATAGTGTCCACTGTTTACGAAAAATCTGTCATACGTCAGGCCCGGGTGCCCTTCAACGAACAAGTCGCATTTGTTACTGAGCCCTACATAATCAACAACGCACTGATGGCTACTACGAGACTCTCGTAGGAGTCACGCCGGAAAAGAATGGCCAAACAAATACACTAGTGCCTGATCTGACATTGTTGTCTAGGAAGTGATCAGACAGACTTCTGTTGAATGAACTTAAAGAGTCAAGTATAACCGAGTCTTTAATATGAGAGGGAAGGTTGCTCCAGATGCGTGGAAATGAATGGGTGATGGAGTTCTTGAGGGCAAGAGTTCTGGCATATTGTTGGCTGAATATCACATGATCTAGGTGGCGAGTGTTTACTGTTATATTACTACAAACAGAATGGCAGTCAATAAGTCCATACAGACACTTCACTACATAATGTGATGGACTGCTTTGCTCGTCTGTTCTCCAAAGAAATCCAGTTCAGGGCTTGAAGTCTGTCCTCGTACGTTACGGTTCCCCTGGCAACCTTCAGACACATCCTGCTGGCCCGCCTCTGGATTCGTTCCAATTTACAGATGTCAGCGGCAGTGTAAGGGGACCAGGCTGGCACTCCGTATTCAAGCACTGGTAGTACCAGGGATTTATAAAGAGATGAAAGGGCCTGCGTTGAAGTTCCTCCTGCTGCTTGCCAGATGAACAATCCTACTGGCTTTGGAAACGACTGCATTGATGTGATTAGACCAGGTGAAAGGGTTGTTGAGGGTGAGTCCAAGGTATTTGTAGGTTGAAGTGATGCTTACAGGAGTGTCGTTGAGGATATAAGTGGGAGGATCAATTTGTTTCTTTGCTCGCGACATGTGGAGGACCTTAGTTTTCTTTAGGTTGAGCTGCATGCCGTTCATTTTACTCCATCGGCCAAGTTCAGTGAGGTCTGTTTGAAGGGCATGCTCGTCATCAGGTGACTGGATGGGTTGGTAAATAAGTGTGTCGTCGGCAAACAGCAGGAATTTTGTTGACAGGTTGTGGGAAATGTCATTGATGAACAGGTTAAAAAGCAAAGGGCCAAGGACGCTTCCTTGTGGGACTCCAGATGTGACAGGTGCCCAGTCTGAAAAGCAACCACGATACATGACACGTTGCTTTCGGCCAATCAAGAAGGATTTGATCCATGCCCAGGTTTGACCACTGATGTTGTAATTGCTTGCCTTTTTTTTGTTTAGCAGGATGTCGTGTGGCATGACATCAAAGGCCTTGCTGAAGTCAAGAAAAATGATGTCAATGCGAGGAGGTCGTGGTCTATCGAGAATTGTCGCCCAGTCATGAATTGCATTGGTAAGTTGAGTGACACAGGATCGTTGAGCAGTGAAGCCATGCTGCTTGGTGTTGCCAAGGCAAAGTGAAGAAATGTGATTGTTGATGTGTTCAGCCACTGCCTTTTCCAAGACTTTGCAAATGACTGAGGTTAATGCAACAGGACGGTAGTTTTTGATGTCAGTGCGTTTACCAGCCTTGAACACTGGTGAAATCTGGGACAGTTTCCAGTCCAAAGGGAGAGTTCCAGTTGCAAGTGAAGAGTTCATGATTCGTAGCAGTGGAGGGGAAAGAGTAGAGGCTGTTTTTCGTAGTAAATTAGGTGAAATTCCATCATATCCCGGAGCTTTGTGGGGGGTGAGATTGAGCAGAGTTTTCTGCAACCATCCGAGGCGTATTGTAACTGGGGGAAGTTCAGGTATGGGAAGGGAACAAGGGGGTGGAGACTGCGGAGGTGGTGTAGGCGGTGAGTGGACTGAGGTGAAGAAATTGGTTGAAGGCTTAATTGGCTGATGTCGGCAGGATTATTGATGAGCTTGTCACCTGACTGGAAGGCAGGGGGGCATTGAGATTTTTTCTAAATGACGATTTTTATAAGCTACAGCTTTCCTTCTTACATCAAATCACCTGTAAAATGAAAATAATCTATCATCCTTTCCGATGGTACTACGGCTGATCTAAGGTAAGGTAAACCCGGCAAATTGTCCAATTGTGTAAACCAAACTCAAAAGCGAACGATGTCGGAGACGATGTCGAGCCTTGGTTCAATCGTCGGCCAAAGCTTATGTTTTTCTTTACTTTGCGCTAGATTTCCAGCGCACGACCTCGTATGCGAATACAGATAATGTAGGCGGGGCTAATATGTGGAGTGTCCAATCACACCTTGGTAAATCCGGACGTCATCAAATTATTTGCAGCTTTTCCGCCTTTTGCGGACGTGACAGGAACCACAGTTTTTGTGCATTGGTGCCGTGTGCAGAGACACACAATGTATACGTGTATGGACTATGTACAGTGCTACGTTTCACTATGCAAGTTTCCACGCAACGATCGACCAATAAGAAAACGACATTTAAGGTCAGCTAAGGCTATTAACATAATGAGCACCACCCCCAAAACCTCACATGGACGATTGAACCAAGGCTTGACATCGTCTCCAACTGATTTGCATAAAAATAGTGGCCCCGTGAGGTCGCTGTTCGCGCTGTATTTTTACATGCATGTGCATAGCGCGTGAGGATATATGCCGACGATTGACCGCGTACGGGACGAATAACGACGAGAGCATTGACCAAGGCTAATGCACGCACGGTCTTTTGCTCGTACCCCCCGCCCTGCAAACAGGACGCTGGGATACTCTGATGAGCTTCACAGAATCTTGTGAAGGAAGTGGCCTATGACCTATGTATAAAGCATCTGGCTGCAGCTGTTCAAGACCGCAGTTAGACAATGTGCGCAAATGCTATCCGAAAACTTCCCATAGAATTGCGCACATTCCATACCGGATGTGATTTCTGTGTCAATGCGGACCATGTGGACAAAATTTTGAGCGTCGCATAATGCAATCCGACCGTTCGTGATTCGAAACGGAGCCTGAGCGAGTGACGCGGGAATTGCAAATTTACAACACAGATAAGTTTTACAGAATTTCCTACATTAGTACGCTTTTCAACGAGAAAAAAACATCTCTAAACTGGAATAAAAGAGTAATGAATCAGTCTTAACGGCTGTTTCAAACCTTGCAGAGTCATGACCTTGATGACGCGCAGGTCACTGGTCACGCAAAATCCAACCAATCAGAGCGTGAATTCATCAGAGTATCCCAGCGTCCTGTTTGCAGGGTAGTCTGGTTCCCTATAGACCTGACAATTATTCCCGACGCTCACGTCTAAATTGTAGGTCAGGCAGCCTCCGTGGCTAAAAATATACATGACGACATTGACGGCCCTTTTTCAAAGCTCGGCTTCGTTTCCGATTTCACTTTATCACTTACAGCTTTTAATGTTCTGATCAAATTTGTAAATAAATCACTTGCTTCGTAATATCATACAGTTATGATAATACAGCTTGATATTTCTGTAAGATAACATTGACTAATGTTGATCTGGAATCTTTGAAATTAGGCACCCAAATAGCACTGTTAGCAGGCGGAGCTGAGTCGAATGAAGACCGAGTTTTGGAAAATCTCGGTAACGGTCGTCAAATTCAAAATAGTACATGACGCAGCAAAAAGTTCGCCCATATGATCCGAGTATACTTGATGCACAAAATCGTCGTTGAATTTCAAGTTTTCTTAATGAAAGCAATGAATATTCATTATCAACTCATTTTAAAACTTGTAATAAGCAATTAGCAGTTAATTAAACCTATATTATACTCGGAAATACTCGGACGCTATCCGATTGTCGACGAAATGAACTCGGCAAACTTCGGACATTTTCGGAAAAAGGAGGAATTCCTCCCGTTTTAGTCACGTAACGTAAATTGTAATACAATGTATTACCGGAGGCTACCTGACCCTAAGATTCATCAGAAATAGTCAGAATCTTTTGGTCAATTCGTAGCAGCGCGAGCACGGCGTGAGTTACGAAAACACGATTTTTGAAATCAAACTGTTACGATCTTATCGAGACAACATTCAGTATCATATTTCATATTATTATGAGCAAATTGGAAAGGAAATTAGTATTTTCAAGAAGGCGTAGACGAATGATCGCGAAATCACGTACTGCACGTTGTGAATAATAGCACCAAGTACACGATAAAAATCCATTACTAGCCAATTGCGGTATCCAATCAGGATACAGGAAGAAAGTTTCCTATCCATACCAGGGTTTACTATTGGAAACGCGGTTGGAAATAAAGTAAGCACTGGGGACGAGGTTGCGGTCTATGTGGCTGAAACCATTGATCTCCATATACACAGTCTGTGTATATGGAGATCAATGGCTGAAACATACATGATAGAGATCAGTGGAGTCACTGTATCCCAGCGTTTGCAGGTGGCGTGGGGGTACGAGCGAATTCAAACCTCGGTTCATTTTTAGAATTCGGAAAGACTTATGCTCCGTATCAGATAAGATTTTTTTCCTAATAAACATGTAATAATAACAATACGCTGCCATTTTTTTTAGTGCGTTCATTTTGGCCGAGAATGTTGCTCATTTATTACGACCATGGAGGAAGGAATGTTACGACAATCTCCTAAATCATTTTGTAATTGAGCCGAAACACTGATGCCGAGGTTTAACAAATTGCCTGATGTTAAAAAAATTAGGTCTGGTATCTCAACGATAAACAGTTATCTTCGAACATGAATAAGTTTTGCGCCAGACTACTTCCATACAACGCGTATGTCATAGCAACACGGTAGCCCGGATGTTAAATAAGGTGGTTCGGACGATATGTGTGTGGCAACCGAACTAAGTTGTAAAACTCAATAGAACTTTTCAGCCCAGACATTTTCACATTTATCCAAGAGGATTATGGAAGGGGATGATTTTAAGAATGAGTAGAAGAGAGTGTAACTTCTATTCCGTTTTTCAAGGTATGCAATACAATGAGGAAACATTGTGTAGTATCAGACGCCACTTCTTTGGTTGTGTACAAAGTCTAGGCCTATCATTGCCTATGGAGAATTGAGTGCATTTTCAACATGTTCAAATTTTCGGTAATCCGTTCCTATTTAAGGTTAAAAGACTCACCAAAACAGCTGACTAAATGACACTCAAAAGTGACATTCTGATATTTCTTGACACATTTGAACAGTTGGCAATGACAATGACATATCAGCACGACAGCAGGTTTAATTTTGTAGAAAGAGGGCAGGGCTTTGTGATTTATGAGGGGTAAAAGACGACAATGACAAAGAGAAAATTAAAAAAGCAAGATGGCGAACTGCAAAAAAAAGGTAGGAAAGTCACATTTTCTTTGATAGTGCTTTCAAAATTACAATTAGGTTGAGTTTGTCTTAGTCCGAGTAACTTGGACCCAACTTATCGCCTTTTTTAACATTTGAACATGGTCTGGCGACTATCGCCAGACCATGTCCAAACGTTAAAAAAGGCCATAAGTTGGGTCCAAGTTACTCGGACTAAGTTTGTCTGAAGAAAAAAGACTGCTTTAGCCTGCAAAAGTCACTTTGGTACTCGACAGTCATCTGCAAAAGTCAGTTTTGAACAGAACGCGTAAAATAGAGTAAGTTATACTTAGAGGTGTCCTAAAGTCTGATAAGGATTACCAAAAGTCCCAGATTCATGTCTTTTCACTTCAGCATTTTTGCAATGACTTAAGGCCTACCTTCATTGAGATAATATATGATGAAAAAAAGTGGCGAAAAGAATGTTGCAACCTGACACCACTTCAGCGGTTGTGTACAAAGTCTATGATGGAGAGTCAAGGACATTTTTCTAAGTATGGCCTATTGCCTAACAAAATGTCGCACGTGCGGCCGTTAGTGTCTCTTGGTCTAGGTAGAGGGCGCTCTTTTGCAAGGGCGGCGACAATAAATTTATTTGAATCCCGAGATTCGTTTGGTTGAAATATACAACCAGGTAGCTGTACTTAAATACTGAGTCAGGACGGCGAAGGAAGGTGACGATTGAACATCCAATCTTGCAGTGAACCTCTGGCGTCTTTATTTAACATAAATACTCCGATATTCAATCAATAATACTACAACAATGCGGGTTCCCCGAAATTACTCCGCCGCGTCATAGACCTAAACTTTAATTAGAATTAGCACCACCCACAGGCGCCACTGGATTTACTCCGGTAGATTTTCTCTAACTGCAACTGCTCCGCCAGTAATCAGCCCTGCTGAAATTACTCCGGTAGATTTCCTCTAACTGCAACTACATGTACTAGTACTACGCCAGTAATCAGCCCTGCTGAAATTACTCCGGTAGATTTCCTCTAACTGCAACTACTACGCCAGTAATCAGCCCTGCTGAAATTACTCCGGTAGATTTCCTCTAACTGCAACTACTACGCCAGTAATCAGCCCTGCTGAAATTACTCCGGTAGATTTCCTCTAACTGCAACTACTACTCCGTCAGCTCACTTCTGGTTCACTGCCGAGTAGTGCCGACACCCTTTTGGTATACGGTAGCCTACTCTGCCAGGTACAACTGCGTCTAACGTAAATTAGCGTGACTTCCCGGAGTCACCGGAGCGTTGAGTTCAGGAGTTGCCGCCTTGACCCCTATAACGATTGATGCGACTTAACTTGCGGCAACTGATTACTTTACTTTAATTATTCAACAAAATGAGCGACACAAATAAATATGTTTAAACAATTTATTAAAATACAATGCGACCGGAGTTTCTTGTTATCGGTCTTAAAAGTCAATACAGACCACAACGAATAAATGATGATAATTACTGGTGGTATGGAGTCAATTGTAGTCTATGAATCAATAAACAAGAGAGTTATATGGATCATGGGGAATAAACTATAAAAAATGCACTTGGGAGACTTCAATTTAGCTCAAATAAAATAAAGATAAAGTTTCTTACCTATAACGATTGATGCGACTTAACTTGCGGCAACTGATACTTCCCGCTGTGCGCGTAAAAGAATTATTTAATTGGTTCGTAAGTTATGTACTCATAGCAACCACGAGATGGCGTCCTAACGCAGCTCTGTACGCGAATAATTTGTATTAAAATTACGGAGTTAAAATACACTTTATCATTATTTAGAACAGCCAAAATTATCTATGCAAGTTATAATTATTTAGCATCCCAGATATAGACAGAATTAGCTCAGATGTTGAAGGGTATAAGTAATAGTATTTAATAATAAATAACGTGGTTTGGAACGATGAATGGATGACTAGCTGCGTGCGCGTGAAGATCAAGTTTACTGCAATGAACGCACAAAACCTCATCTAGTTCCCTGCTTATCAATCATTATATATTTACAGGTAAGTTGAATTATACTAAAAGGAATCAGCGAAATAATAAAAGACTTTAGGAATAAGTTAAGTGAGACTGACGTCACACCACCTCACGTCACAAAAATTGGAAATGTTTCTCAGTCTCGGATACATGCCTTATCATCATTTTTGCAATGACTGACCTTCATTGAGATGATATATGAAGAAAAAAGTGGCGTCAGGCTGCAACATTCTTTCCAAAGTGGCGTCAGGATGCAACATACTTTCCTGAAATGATTTGAGGAGAACATTGCGTACGGGCCTAATTGCTCCTTTTTTTCAATTAATTTTCAAGCGCCAAAAAGTTGCTTTCTGTGTGATTATTTCCTCCACTTTCCATCCTCGACTCGCACTTTTTCCTTTCTTCCGCTCCTCTTTAATAATAAGTTAATCACTTAGGCCTAGTTCACGTTTGAATTTTTGAAATCGGATGACTGGAGATAGAATTTCACTTTTTTGAAGGCAATACTGGTGCCTTTTTATGGACAAAAATGCAGTAGGCCTTGGCCTACGTAATCTTATTTTCTTTATTTAGCCGTGGCACACTGTCCATGTTCAACTGACCAATCAGCAAACGCCTCTAAATTAGTTAGATCCGCTCTTGCATACTGCCCTTCACTCATGTTGGATTTGCACAACAAGTTTTTCAGAGCTCAAAACATGGATCCGAAACTGTATATTTCCGTTTGCTCACAGACATCATCCGAATGTCATGAAACTTTCAGAAATGAAGCTCAAATGTCCGACTTTGCTAATTACTGACATCCAGATGGTTACACAATCTCTTTCCACCCTTACTTTCATTCCAATTTCAATATTGACATCGTGTGCATTTACAAAATGGTGGATCAGTTAGAATCTCACACACAAAGTTTATCAGAGATTCCCCAATGAAATAGACTTGAAATCAAGCCGGTAGTTGGCCAGGTTTAGTCCGCCCGGCGCCGCCGCATATCATACTGTACCACCTGCACTGGCATTGACACAGTACTGTTAGCCTTGGTCAAGGCGCTAGTTGTTATTCATCCCGGCTGTAGCGCGGTAAACGATATCCTCGCTAGCGCTATGCATGCGGTGCATTAAAAATACAGCGCGAACAGCGACCTCATGCAGCCACCATTTCTATGCAAATCAGTTGGACCCAATCTAGCGCCTTGGTTCAATCGTCGGCAAAAGCTTATGTTTTTCTTTATTTTGCGCTGGATTTCTAGCGCACGACCTCGTATGCGAATACAAATAAGTGTAGGCGGGGCTAATATGTGAAGTGTCCAATCACACCTTGGTAAATCCGGACGTCATCAAATTATTTGCAGCTATTCGCCTTTTGCGGACGTGACAGGAACCACAGTTTTTGTGTATTGGAGCCGTGTGCAGAGACACACAACGTGTACGTGTATGGATTATGTACGGTGCCACGTTTCACTATGCAAGTTTCCACGCAACGATCGACCAATAAGAAAACGACATTTAAGGTCAGCTAAGGCTATTAACATAATGAGCACCACCCCCAAAACCTCACATGGACGATTGAACCAAGGCGCTAGATTGGGTCCAACTGATTTGCATAAAAATAGTGGCCGCGTGAGGTCGCTGTTCGCGCTGTATTTTTAATGCACTGCATGCATTGCATAGACATATGACTGCATGCATAGCGCTAGCGAAGATATCGTTTACCGCGTTACGGCCGGCCAGATGAATAACAACTAGCGCCTTGACCAAGGCTACAGTACTGTATCATATGCATACAGTACCACCCAGGGGTTACGTGTAGTGTGCGTTGCAATAACATGCGGGAACGTTCAGTGCAACCTCAGCCCCAATATGCATGTGCGTCGAATCCAATTACCAACTTGAAACATCTGCTAGCCCTTAAACAAATAGAACTTGCTACCAAAATTGGACCGAGCACTCTGATTGGCTAAGAATCAGGAGGATATAAATATTTATATATTATTTACCTGTCTCGCTCGGTGCAGGCACCGATCCTGGTCTCACGGGTGTCAAAGTTCACTAATGCGTGTAATGAATGCTTCTAGTTCACCGTGCAACATAGCCTGGATCGAATCGATTGCTTGAAGGGTCGAAAGCTAATTCCTTGGTCATTTGAAATCCATCCATCCATCATTATATTCTCATTCAAAAAACAAGATTTGAACATTATATTTTCTATTTTACCGCCGAGTGTAATATTTGGACAAAAATCGTTCCAAAAAGAGAGAGAGAAAAAAAGAGGTGTGCATTGATCAAGCATGCTAGGAACTGTATCCCCACTCTAATAATGGATGCTTCCCAGCGATAAAGCCAGGTTATTATTGGCTCTCTCTATGGAAACGTAATGCATATGCATTTTGCTGGGTGCATAAATGAATAACCATCTATAAAATTCATTATTAGTCAAGGCGTTAGACCTGTCGGATGCTGGATGTAAACACGATACAGGACGCCAGCTAGTGCCATGCTTGGGCAAGGCACTTTACTACGAGTGCCTCTCTCCACCCAGGTGTAGTAAATGGGTACCTGGTAGGAAGAAATTCCTTTAATGCTTGAGCGCTGTAATGGCAGTCGTGCTAAAGCCAGGGTAATGATCAGTGTTGTAGTACTCGGTACTCGTACTCGAGTACTACTCCAGTACTTTTTTTGGAGTTCTCGTACTCGTAATCGTACTCGACTGTCAAAGTACTCGTACTCAAAATGATGGTACTCGTACTCGACATGTTGAAATTGTACTCAAGCATCAAAGTATTGTACTCGAATAGCAGTACTCGGGGGGGGGGGGGGGGGGGGGGAATGGTGTAGCTTGACTATATACCACAGACTTATTTTATCGATACTTTCGGTTTGAAATGGTTGATTGGCTTGTGGAGAAATCAAAGTTTCCTGATTTTCCTCTGTGCACATCCGGACAAACACATTTAACAGCTAGCCGTGAGTGGGTCTGTATATCGGTTTGACTGGGCCTGGGCCAATTAGGCACAATGCGGTTTGACTGGGCCTGGGCCAATTACGCACAATGAACCATTTGCCGTATGGCTGTATTCCGAAATACAAGTACTCGTACTAGTACTCGTACTCGTAAGTACAAGTACTCGTACTCGGAGACCTGTTTTTGTACTCGGAGGTACAAGTAATCGTACTCGGCAACCTAAGTACTCAGCAGTACTTGGTACTCGGGAAAAAAGTACTCAACTACAACACTGGTAATAATAGAGCGTCAGGAGCGTCACTTTGTGACGGACATGAGCGCTATACAAGAAGCCATTATTATAATTGTTATATTGGGGGCCTCGTCGGACAAAACACGACAGTGTCTAACGACTTGATTTCAAGCATATGAATGAAAATAAGGTCATGCGGTAGGTTTTTAACGCACCAGAATGCACAGAAACAGGAAAAGAAGTACTCGGTACTTTCCGTATGAGTCGAGAAAAGTCCACAAAATTGGGCCGAAAGTGCGATGACTCCAGTCACAATCCTCGAGTCCGAGTCCGAGTCACGAGTCACTTGTTCTTAGTTGTTCACCAAACTAATCAATTTTTTTAAAAATTATTTTTCAATCATCCATTCTTTCTTTTAAGTAAATCCCAGTATATAGGTTACCTTGTGTGTGTACATGTTGTTTAAACCCAAAATGTGTTTTCCTTTTAATTCCCATCCCTAAAAACCCTCCTTCATGTAACCGGACACTTTTTGGCATGACACTGGGCCCTGGTGCTTGTCGTACAAATGCTATATAGGCGTGCGTGCGTGACACCTGGATACAATTTTCCGTGGCGCCGTGTTTTGTCTATGGAGTAAAAAAGAATGCTACGTTGTCGCACAAATACTTAACGTTATGTTTTTTCTTTTGATGAAAATGTGTGACTCGAGTCACGAGTCACCAAGCTCGAGTCCGAGTCATCATGGTCGAGTCTGAGTCATTTTCAAATGTGACTCGAGTCGAGTCCAAGTTACGAAAAATGTGACTCGAGTCCAACTCGAGTCCGAGTCCTGGACTCGAGTCCTACAACACTGACAGGGGTATAGGCACAGCGAATGGAGCGCCTCGGGCATTTTGTCGCATTTTTAACAATATCTTCAATAACCCAAAGATACATGTGTCAGGAATTCTGATGGGACAATTTCATTTTTGTAACCTGTGTAGTTTTTAAGTTACCATTTTATAAATTTGGCCGTCATGTCGAGGTCCATTGTGTTTGTCCAAGGGGAAAAGTCACGTAACGAAAGAGCCTATTTTTAGTTTGCTTGAATTCCATAGCTTATTCCCAGGCCCATTTTCATAAAACTGAATGGTTCTTGAGTCCTGTGCTGAATGGCAAAACATAAACAGCGAAAATTATGTGCAAATGATTAGATGTATGCATCGGCTGACATAATACTGTCCAAACCTTAACCCAATGACGTTGAAGTTCAACTTTTTACACAACCACGATGGAATAGTTGTGTCAAGATACAACATTCTCTCTGAATATTTCTCAGACTTTACGTCAATAAAAAAGGATCTGTAGAAGCCATGAATTATAATGCAAGTGATATATTACATATTATCAAACACAAAAAATGCTATTTTTGTGCTCTCATAAAAAAAATCATACCTGAGTCAACACACAAACACACTTTGGGCTAACCTGCTATGCTACTAAACCTTTTCAATCAGACTTGATTTCAAAACGTTGTATCTATCCAAAATGTCACGTTGAAGTGCTGTAACTTTATAATCATTGAAACCTTTTTTACAGACTTTTACAGTTAGGCTACAGAATACCCTTTGGAGATCAAAGCAGAAGAAGAAAGCAACATGGATCGAGCAAAGGTAATATTCTTTCTGCAATTACTGTCCCAAGTGTCAGATTTTTAAAGGAGTTTTCCTAAAAAAAATTTTTTTTGGTCAGGATTTTTTTTGATTTCAGGATTTCTTAAAGAATCCCTTTTGAAATCTGGAATTCCTGAGGTTTTACTGTAAAGTTTATATAAAACAAAAAAATGGGTATATAAAGGGGTGCCTTTAGGAAGATACAGACATGTATCATGGACCCTACATTGCTCTGGGGCTCTTGGCAACCCTCAAACCCTCTGCCAATTATTTCGTGGATTCGATTATTTCAATGTCCCCCAATCTCAGCCCTGGTGTCCACCGTCTGTCTGTAATTTAGCATCTATGTTTCTTTGATGGGGATTGGTTGAACATTAACACCTGGTATCGTCCATTGATTTACAGGTAACTGGTACACCTTTATTAAGCTGCAGCCAGACCCGTGGCTTGCCAGGTCTTCCTCCTCTACCAAAAGATGCTGCTAGACATCCCTCTGACCTCTATCAGGTAAAACAAGGCTTGAAATACCCACTGGACTGCTGGATCAGTTCTAGTTGGAAGTACCATTCTAGTTCTTTTTCTGACTAAACTAGACATGTGCACTTATGTTTTTTTTTTATCAGTTTGGGTCTACTGCTCATTTACATAAAATGCTCAATTTTAAATCCAGTTTGACCAAGGCGCTATGTTTTTTTCCCCATTTACTAAAGTAATGATGAAAGAAACCGTTCTTGTGCATTTTTTCTTTAGCTTTCCAAATAATTTTTCTTTTCTTTTCTAAATCGTACTGAAAAAGTATGTTTTTCTTATATTTGTAGTGGTGTATGACAGTAATTCTTGTTTAGGAAAATTTTTGAGCCAGTAGCCCGTTATCTAGAAAAGTTCTATGTGAAGCTTGATCCCTATAAACAAATATTGAAATGTGTAATCCAATTTTTTTTTTTACATTCGACCGCATGACTGGCCTCTAATTTCTGAAAGTTTTTGGTAAAGATGGCAAAATATCTCGCACAACAACCACTGCTATGATGACTTCAATGAATACATAAACACTGTATATAGCCATTACACGAACTTCATTGTTACTCACACAGGTGCCTTTTAAAAGATTTAAATTTCTCAACTAAATATGGATAAATTCTAAATACTACAAGAAAAAAAGTTGCAAGATTTGATGATGTTCTCTGAGACAATTTATTCATAGATACTTGTCAGAATCTGATGCATATTGGCAGTTCATCACAGAAAGTTGAATAGATTATTTACAGTTTCTTTTTTTCCCCTTTCCAGATTGTTTTGAAGCACAGTGAGCATCCTCCAATCATGCAAGGCATGTCATGGACGCTGGCTGCACCCTTCAAAGAACAGAAGTACAGCCGCACACCCAGTGAGTCCATTGCCAACAACTACACACCCTCGGCCAACAAGCTGAACATCAAGGCACTACCACGCAGTAATCTGGCCCGATCAGTCACACAGCCAAGCATGACCAGGAAGAGAAGCCACTCACGTATCCTTTCCAATAACTTTCCAATTGAAGTTGCCAGATTTCTTATACTTGAAAAAGAGAAGGAAAACAAATGATAAATTGGAGAAGATACATGTATTTAGAATAGCCTACAGGATTGTCCAAAATCCCCCAGAAGGTTTTAGAGAATTGTTTGTCTTAACTAAAGACTGTTTCTTTTCATTGGGCTTGATCCCCTTAAGACATGATTAATTTCTTACATTCTATGACATTCAATACCAGTAAAACCCAAGTCAAGCATATCACTAGGAATCAAAATATCCAACCCCCGATCTACATCTTAGGAGACGCTCCACTTGCTACTACATACTCATTCCAATATCTTGGCATTGTTATTGATTCTAGACTTACCTGGAAATCTCATGTTAACACCATTGTTTCCAAAGCTAACCGTCTTTTAGGCTTTATCCGGACAGTAGCACGTGGAGCTTCTCCATCTGCCATCTTTTGCCTGTACAGGTCCCTTGTCCTTCCTATTTTGGAATATGGCTCACCTGCTTGGGACCCCTATACCTCCGCTGATCAACAAAAACTTAAACATGTTCAACGCACAGCTACCCGTATTGTTCTAGGTCAGCGGAGGGGGAAATGTCATATGAGGACAGACTCCATCAGCTCAATTGGTCCATGCTCACTTCCAGAAGAAATTTCATTCTATGCTCATTTGTATTCAAGGTATTATATGGCCTAGTACACTGTGAATCTGTCCATGAGAACCTTCATATTAATCCACGTCATCCAAACATCCTCACATTTCTTGACCTTCCTGCTCGTACTGATGCTTTATTCCATTCACCAACCTGTCGCTTTCCTAGACTCTGGAATCACTTACCTACTTCAATCCGGGATTCTGCAGTGCTTAATTCACTAAACTCATTTCTAGCCAGTCTCAAGACACACTTCCATGACCAGCTCACATTATAGCGTAATTAACTTAATCTTAAGTTTAATCTTCGGGCTTCCCTTTATTGTGTTATTTCCCTGCCATTTGTAATTTTGTTCTTGTGCCTTTGTTTGCCTTTTCTGTCCTGTTTGTTTGTCATTATGTTCGGGTCCGCATGCTTCCGAGCAACAGTGATTAGATTCACTTTTGCGGTCCCTGACCCACATAATCGTTTTCATTGGGATTTTATTGCGCCTTATTGGTTCTTGTTCAACTCCCAATTGGGAAGCCTAGCTGTCATTTAAAGTGCATGCCCTGAACTTCATGATTTTTTTAAAATTGAAATTACATGTTTATGGGTTCCTTTTGTTGTGCGTTTTCAACCACTTTTGCGTAGTTTTTGTTTGGTTTTGTATCACTGTTTGTAATACTTTGTTGAGGTCAAATAAATAATAATAATTATCTCCACAGTTGAGGGTTGAGAGGATGCAGAACGGCCTTAGCAAATGTGTCATTGAAGGTAGAAAGTGTGCATTGACAAATTATTTTTGTGTCCACTTGAAAAACTGCATTGTAGCTGTTAGGCCAAAATTGTAGCATTTTGTGTATATGCCATAGAGAGCTTACGTTGGTGAACATGATGAGGAGCAGTACTAATAATGTACATTAACTACCAGTTAAAGTTATATTAAAATAAACAACTTAAATTGTTTTGAAACTTCTGAAAAGATATTGATTTCCATAAATACTGTTGAAAGGGCAAAGATCTTGAAAAGGTGATTCCCCTGCTTTACTACACAATGGCTAGGTGCTAAAATGGCATTTGAACAGTTACACCGAATCTGTTTTATCTCTCTGCTAAAACCGCATGTTACAACACCTCAAAGGGTGGGTTTAGCACTATTTCAGAAAATTTGATCTTTTAGTACAATCTCTGAATGGTTTTAGCTCAAATGCTTCCTGTTTTAGTAACGCCTTTTTTGTGGCACACTTCGTACAAGTGCAAATCAGTCTTGTGGGTTCGAACACTGGTTTCGAACATCAACTTTTTCATTTAGATTTATGTCTTTTGGTACTTCAAAAGCTGTCAAAAATAGCCCCCAAAATGAAAACAAAAATGCTAAACATGTTCTTAAAGGAAAAAACGTTCAAGGCCGATGTACAGTACTAAAATGGGAATTATAGTCACAAAGGGAACCGTCCAACACAGTCTGTAAGGTACAGCGTACCCCGCGGTATCAGCGAGCATGGTCGCAGTGGACTGCCATTGCTAGGGCTATGATGTCAACCATGACGACGAAGAAAGGCTCCAGACCACGTGCAGTGAACTGGGCAAAAAGGACGAAGTGAAGGCGCAGGGTTTGGGCCGAGGCGGAAGTTCTACGTGACCTCAGAAACTGAGATATACCATTTCGAGTTGAACTCACTAAACTTAAAATGGTGTCTGAACGCTTTGTACGTTTTAATTTTATGACCGGCTACCCATGGTGAGTGACCGTTTTAACTTTTTTGACTGTTTAGCTAAAACGCTGTCTGAACATAGCCAAAGTACATACATGCTTAAATATATTGTGATATTTTGCTTGTGGTGAATTACCATAAACCATAGCCCAGAGCTAGACTTAGATAATCATCACTGATGACACTAAGCAGTCTAGATCAATAACACATGATCTCGTTTTTATAAGTGTTTCAATGACCTTGTGTATCAACATTTACTCAGCGCACATATTGACAAGAGTTTGCATTTTAGTAAGTAGTAAAATGTATCCTCTTTTGACACCTGTTGACCATATTATGTAATCACTCGATCCTTGATCAAACAATCTCCTACTTGATATGAGATTGCTAGTTTGTTCAAGGTATGTACTGTCACAATCTTGTATACATTGGAACAAGTATTGTAAACAGACAGTAGCAATATAATATATCTCTATATAATTTTTTATCGGTAACATTTCAAATTTTACAATATTTCCAAGCATACTTTTCTAAAGACAAGTTCAATATTTCATTAAGTCAGTGTTGCCCTACTAGCTAGTGTTATGATAATAAAAAATATATATAATTGATGTGAATATATAAAGTAGGGCTGTGCATCAGAACAGGGTACCCAAGTACCTGACCGTTGATGTCAGGAACCGGTGACAGATTATGGGATCAGGTACCCATAACCAACTTCACAAATTACTTAGTAATTCTGAGACAATGAAAAAGAAGGGTTTTGAATGTCATTTGTGGGGAATTTTCAAAATGGAATTTGGCTACATGGGAAAACAAAATATATTTCACGTTTATGACGCTCGCGAAAGTTGAGGTTTTCACTGTAAATTAAGCTATAAAGGTCGCGGAACTGTACTGACACTGACGTAGTAATGTTATCATGCAGACCTTAACGAACAATCTGAACAGCAACTTCTGAGATTCAAATTTTAGAATTGGGTTTCTTGCACGGGTACCTGGAACCCTGTTTTTTTTTTCAATCGAGTACCCAGTTCCCGTACTACTCGTAAATGCACACCCCTAATATACATGTAAAGCCAAAAGACTTCATAGAAAACATTGAACAATTTGATGACAAGTGCCTTTATCGATTACTTCTGTGAGAGAAAATCAACAAAAGACCTTAACTCTAAAATGTCATCAGCTCAAAGATCCCCACGCAGCCCTCAACCTGGAGACATACCACCGATATCACCTAGAGCAAAGACGTTTGTAGGAAGACGTACCAAGACACAGTTAAATGGGTGAGCAATTAAGAATCAAAGACAATTCCAGAGTATGTGACATTTATTCACTCGACAAATTGTATAAAACTGTCATTTTCACTTCTGCTTGTGTTACTAACAATGAAACGCTGATGTAAGACTCTGAGTCTACCATTGAAAATCAAATGCTGCTTACAAGTAATGACATTGACAGGACTGTTGTTGCCTGGTGCTTTGTGTGTACATTATGGCAATTGAAAATCACACAATATCATATTTATCATGCTCTAACAAGGACAACATTTGCCACAGGGCCATTTAAAGTTTTGAAATTTGACAAACTTTTACTTTTTGTGCAGACATGCTGTTCTTCCATCCAGCCGACCTATGACCCCAATGGAACAGATGGATACAATGTTGAAGATGGAGCAAGAGGAAGATGCAAATTATGGGGAGCCATCAGACAGAGATATGGCGGTAAGGAGGACAGACATGTCTCTCATGAAAAAGGTGGCATAGAGCTACGATCCAGATTGTATTTTACCATTTGCCAATGGGTTGAGGGTACTTTATCAGCAAACTGATTCGTCTTTTTATGAGGCATATGTTGTGGCCAAGTGGCTAAAAATGGACTAAATTACTAACGAATTGTGAACCTTTTGGAGCCTCCATTGCTCAACTAATCAGGATTGATACCAGACTCTCATGTGGCCTTGTTTTGAAGTAAACAAATTGCTGTTTTACCACACAATCACTAAAAGAAGTCGGCAAAAACTATTTTCGTATTAAAAGCTGTTGTTATCCTCATCCATGATGTTTAATTGGGTGAAAATGTGCAGCTACATCAAGTTGTGTGTAAATCGATAGTAAGTTTATTGTGCAGATGCGCAATACATTTTTCGCGTAAATGTTACACACATGGTGTAAGTTGTTGTAAAATCGGCTGAAGTTGTTATAATGTGATGAAATTGCATGATAAAGAATGAAGCCAAAATATTGAAAGAGACGGGGAGTATTAATGTCTGAACACATAGCCTGCGACAAGTGTGCAAGATATGTACAAATATCATTTACGTTTGAGTCCTTTGGCAAACACTAAATAGCTTCAACATGCCTGTTTGTCCGATACACAGATCTGTCAATAATGAAAAGCCCAAGTACTCAGACCACACTGTCTTGTTTAATACTTAGGCTTTATAGACCAATCTGTTAAATCCTGTCCAATATTGCTATGACCATACACAGCCAGGACTGTGCCCCAAACTGTTTGGCGAGGTGCATGTGTTGTTGCCCATGTGTGCACCGGGTTATGGCCAAATCCAATATCCGGTTCGTTAGTAAAAACGTCATACACGCGCGCACACAACTGATAACTAGCGCCCATTGGATAAACGCTCGAGCTGCGTTACTTGGATATAGACACTCGAGTTGCGTTACTTGGATAAACGCTCGAGTTTCGTTACTTGGATAGACGCTCGAGTTGCGTTACTTGGATAGACGCTCGAGTTGCGTTACTTGGATAGACTCTCGAGTTGCATTGCCGGTACCCATTTATACTCCTGGGTGAAGAGAGGCAAGTGGGGGTGAAGTGGCTTTCCCAACACAATGGCCAGCAACTGGATTTGAACCCCTGACTCTCTGATTATGAGTCATGAACCCTAACCACTAGGCCACACTCCCCAAATCCAATATGCTCCTCTCCTATTTACAATTCTAAATTTCATCATACTTGTTGAACTTAACCATTGTTTAAATTGTTTAAACTATATTTAAAAGTCCACATGTTGCAGATGACATGAATGGATATTAATAAATACCTTGGAGAGTTGATGGTTTCTGATTGGTCGAGACTCGATCACGTGGCCGGGCATTAACGGTGGACCTGCTTCAAAGATCAAGCGAATAAATGGCCCCTGAACCAGCATTGATCAAGCCCCGTTCAGCCCCATGCAAGCAAATGATTGGTCAAAATATAGTAACAGTCCTGCGGTAGCTTGTAACAATAGAGCACTGCACATGCGCTCAACCCCCATCGCGTGAGACTGACGTGCGCGTACGCAACACAGTTGCTAGGGATGCGTGCGTGCGCGCGCGTAATGAAGTTTTGAAACGACATCGTACAGCAGTGCAGTATATACTGAGGATGTTTACGACGAAAGCGTAGATCTACGATTTATTTTCTTTGAACACTTCACCCACCGACATATTTACCTTTCCTAAACCAAGCATCTTTGTAATTCCGGACACAAGGAATGTGTAAACGAGATTTCAGCTTCCTCCATCAGGTAAAGATATGAAAACATTGTTGTAATTTGTTTCGCTATGGCAGCAGTTTCTGTTGAGTTTACATCGTTATAGCTGTTAAGCTAAAATATGGCCCATGAACATGAACACAAAAAAGTCTGGAAATATCGCCGAAAAAAAGTCACAAAATTGGAGCATTTTAACTGTTTATTTCATTAAAAAGGTATTTATTAATGGGAATAACAGTGTGAGGATCCGGTCTTCACTGCGTCGCGGTCCATTAACAGTGGTCACCCCCACACCTGGTCATTATCACGCAGTGAAGACCGGCTCCTCACACTGTTATTCCTTGATTATTGCTATCTTCAGAGATACAATTACTACATCACCAAAGGCCTGACGGCAGAGATGCTTGCCCAGCCACCAGATAACATGATGAATAACGTCAGGTGCTACGTGCCACATGTACTCCTAGAGGAGGTGGGGCTTCAGAAACTACGATGCAATCTGGAGGACGAGATCTACAGTGATTATGAGTTCAGCAGTAGGAAGGCCATAGGTAGGTCATCCAGGGCACTGGAATACCCACTGGACTGCCACTCTAAAGTTGTCCATCGTGAATAAACTTAATGGTTTTTTATGTGTAATATTACATCAGACAGAGAAAACATTACTCGCATGTCTTGCATGGGATCATATTTCCAAGGCATTTACAATTTTATGAAACACTACATGGTATTTAAATAGTACTGAAGTAAGCAAATCTGCGCGTGTGACTGTCTGTGGAGCTAGCAAACGTAAGCTTACCCAACAGAAAATATGAGGAACGCATTTTTTTTTGGGGGGGGGGGGATTGGGGTAGGATTAGTGCATTCTCCACTGGAGTTTTGGGGAGGATGGGGCGCCTGGCAATCATTACAGTTTGCCGCCTGACAACTGTTACTGCCCCTTATTGTTTAGAATATTAACTACAGTTTACAGTGTTTTATATAATGGCTTATAATCCAGTCTTTTGAATGGGAAAAATGTGATTTTGGACGATAAAATTAATGAGAAGAGCTGTTCCTTATTAACCTCTGACCTGTGCACATGCAATCACGGCTTTTGCCAGGTTTGTTGCCCAGGTTTAAATATTGCTTACTCTCTGGAGAGTCCTGATTTATTTTGTTCTGAGGTGTTGCCTGATCTAAAAAATATTCTTGTGCTCGAAGGTCTCGTTAGAAATAGGAGCTAATAGGCAGTTTCATGATTCATCATCGAAACAAAAGGATTGTCAAATCTAAGTACAGGTCAAAAAGAATAGATTCAGATATCATGCATATTTTTAAAAATAATTAAATTTCAGATTTTTTATTAGATTTTAAATTTTTTGTTACCAGTAGAAGGTTTGCGGGAAAATACGTTATCTCTCATAATAAATTATAATGAACCAAACATTCAGAAGTTGGAGAAAATGACAAAGGGTGTACATCTATTTAAAAAAAAAAAAAAAACCCACAAAAAACGCTCACTCGTTTTCGGGTTTATTTTGACATTTCTTTAATAGTTGACTACATCTTAAAAGACCCTGAGGAGAAGTCCCGCCTGCACATTGCCTGGATCCCACGTCCATTCCCTAGACGGATCATCCGTGCCCCTATGCCTTGGCATAATTCCTATCTCATCAACAGAGACTGCAATACAAACCACCTGTTCATCACAAATAACATCATGCTGGAGCTGCAGAACCTGTGGTATGACAGGTGAGTCTAGGAACTAGACCTAAAAGACCTTTATTGATGATTTGTGGATGATGACATCTTGGTTAGATGAATGCCGCTGCATAGATTGGAGACATCCTCTTATTATGTGAGAACAGACAATGTCTTCAAAGTTTCTTGTGTTTTATTGGTTGGTATGAGTCATTACGATGCTGCCTTCCCTGATTGGGCCAACAAAAATAATAGTTCTGCTTCCGGTTACCCAACCTACCCTATTTTGACAGCCCCTACCCTAATTTGTTTTGGGGAAACATGAGAAAACCCCCCCAGAAAATCACTAATTACTACCTTTTACCCTTGACTGCATGCAGACACCTCCATATGTATTACTACCTACCGTATTTTCAAATGCCATGTAATCGGAAGCAGAACTCTTTTTTTTTGGTCTTGGCCTGGTACTCCAGTCATGCCAGTATGCTATGCGGAACACAGTGCCTTATTCAATTGCATGTGGCTATTTAAAGAGGTTGTGGAATGCTCGAAGACATTTCCGTCATTTTTCGGGTATATGTAGCCTAAGGTGTGATGAAATAAAAACGACTATTGTTTCTGTCATAAAATGAGTACAAAAGGTACTTTTGAGAGCTGTTTTTCAAGTCCTGTCATGCCTGTTTCGACCCGAACGTGCAATTTGTGTAAAAGTCGTCGTTGCGGGCAGCAAACAAAACACGGTAAATCGTGACGTAATACAGGGGTGTGAAATCTCAGCTTTAAAGCTGATTTCAGCTTTTTTTGTTTTGGATTTCAGCTTTTTTCCTTCACTTGCTGTGTACAAAAGTATAGGAGATTTCCAAAGTTCAGCTGTTTTTACACCTTTTTCAGCTGTTTTCAGCTATTTTTATCAGCGGTCACTCACACCCCTGGTAATAAACAGGACTCCCGATGCAGAGTAGCATAAACGAGTCCTGTTTATTACGTCACGATTTACTGTGTTTTGTTTGCTGCCCGCAACGACGACTTTTACACAAATTGCACGTTCGGGTCGAAACAGGACCTGAAAAATAGCTCTCAAAAGTACCCTTTGTACTCATTTCATGACAGAAACAATAGTTGTTTTTATTTCATCACACCTTAGGCTACATATACCCGAAAAATGACAGAAATGTCTTCGAGCATTCCACAACCTCTTTAAATTAAGTTGAACCATATGTTATAGGTCATTAGGTCAACAATGTAGTGGTGAATATGTTTGAATCTGACTTGACCGTAGGCACAAGTGCACTTGCCAGCGCAACGCTACATGTTCCAGATGTCAACGTTTTAGCCAGCAAGCCGTGCAGGCCGTGTTAGCACGGCCAGTTGTGAGAAAATCACGGGCTATATTTTCAAGCACGGCTTGTGTTTTTAAACTGAAGCAGTGCTAAATGTATTACAAAATCTATTTCAGTGATTGGGAATTTCACGTGAACAATTTGTGATTTTATTTTCTGATATAAAAGGCGAAAGATTTTTGGTTCTCTTGGACAATTCAAAACATAAAAACCTTAACACAGGCAAAATTATTTCGCGGCGAACGCACGCTCCCATCCTGGCCTTGATTGTGGTCCCATTTTAGATTGGTACACACGTTTCGTTTGGTACGAAATAGTATCTGCACCTGCACAACGGAAAAGGGGAACCAGCCGTGTCGGTCTTGGTACAGCGAAAATCAGTAAAACTTAGTGGAAAAATAACCGGCTTGCAGGGTAAGCCTTAAGGATTTTTTTTGTATAGCAAAACTGCTATGCAAATTTTGATTTGCATAGCAGTTTACCAATTTTGCATAGCAGTTTTGTTATACTCAAATTTAGCCTCGGCTTTGCAATTACTATTTACCTGTCAGTGTCAGACTGTACAAATTACAAAGCAATAAAGAAGTAACTTACGTTAAGCTGTGAACTTAATGACTCATCAGTTGTCTGTTTATTTCAGGAGCTGCATGCTTGCTGGAATAACTTTCGAGTGAAAAAGCAAGCCATTCCTGGCCCGGGTCTAGATCCGCCTGCCAATTATTGGCAGTATTTGCCTTGATACCGGTAGTTTTCGTAGTAGCCATGTTTTCATCAATATGCTACACAGCGCACAAACGACAACACAGCTGGGATTTTGACGTTTTAGTTCCCACGAATCCCACGTGCGTATCAAGTGATTTACTTGAAGGGGTAAACCCGTTTTCCGTGTCGGCAAAATGTTTAAGATAAACCTACAAATATCTAAAGAATAGTGATGAGAAAAGGGCTCGATTTACCCGGGTGCACGCATGCACCAGTGCATGTAGATTTTTGCTTGTGCACGTAGCTTTTTTACTGAGCATGCACAACGTGCATGTAACTTTTTTAGCCACCAAAATACTCATTTCATGCATATATTACCAGTGAGTGAGAATAAGAATAAAGTTTGTTGAATACTTGACCAGATAGTGTACAAACGTGTTATTTCTTTTATAAATCCATAAATTATTCCTCGCACAGTCGCAGCAGATTCAAAGTACGAGGTAAAATCTCGACGTACGTCCTGCAACCTCCTCCGATCATGCACGTGATTTACCACGTGATACATGCTGCAGATAATTTGGTATAATGATCACCGTAGCCCTACCAAATTTGGTGTAGAAAATAAAATAGTTGCTCCATGTTTATAGTTGAAAGTTTGGACCGTGAGGCCGGAACACGTGCAATTTATACGCGATCACTCAGCTAGCTGCATGCTGCGCGCGTTATCACCATTTGATGCCGGTGGTAATCTACGCATAAACTAATAACGGGTACCAGCCAAAACAGAACAGCGCTCAATCTCAATCTGTACGTACGGTCCGGCTACATAGTGACGTTTCGCGTACGTGTGTGTACAGGCGCAGGTAGCGCATGCGATCCTGTGTGTTCGTGTGTTTCCAATAAAATAATGACCGGACCACTGTACACCGTACCAGCGCGGCACAGAGCGCGGGTGCCGTACACACGCACGAAGCCAAAGTCGGCCAATGCCGGCCACGTGCGCTTGCAAAATTGGCGATAGCCCAGCATGCGAGTACAAAATATTTTGGTTGTCGCGGGATGTCGGACAACCAATTTTGCGAGCCCTGAGCCCTGTACATATTGGGATTTGGCCTTCAGTTTGGGGCAATATTATTAAATTCTTTACTGGGAAAACGATCATGCCCCTCCCGGGGTCGAAAGGGCAACTAAATTTAAAACAAATTGCTAGGCCTGCACAATGTGCTTATGCAGACCAGAACAAAAAATACAAAGGTTTAATCAATTTAATTGGTCAAACAAATTATACAGTCATAATTCATTTACGAAAAAACACATAGGCCGTTTAATTTTTTTTTATTGAAAACACTTCATTGCATTCACATTAATGAAAAAATCGGTTATGAAAAACTGTTTGATAGGGTTTATTGTCATTATTTCCTTCTGTAATTTTGTTAAACCTGTTATTATTTGTTTAAAAAAAGGAAACAATCAAACCAAATAAGCTCACTTGGTCTTGCAAAAAGGTATCAGAAATGCACCAGAAACCACCAGAGAGCATCTAAAGTAGCCAGAGCTTCCAGGCCCGTAAGGGACTTCGCACACAAATTCTGGACACTACAAGTTGCACGCCCACTTTTTTGTGTTGCACTCCCACTTTCTCAAATCCTGGCTAAAACGCTGCCAGACGTATGTATCTTACACAAGTGAACTCTTTGCTGACTTACATCTGACAAGAGTACACTTGTGTGTGAAGCAGTGAACTTGTTTATGTCGTAGTGTATAGTACTGTTCATTATCATGATCATCATGTTGTACTTTCAGGTTTTGCACATTGAGGTTTGTTCGTCTGGAGGATCTGCTATCTGCTGAGCTGCCCCTTCTTCCTGACGAGTTTGAGAATCTAGTCAAGAAACAATGTGCAGAGGCAAGACAGGTGCTACAGTCATCGTAAGTATAGCTTTCCATGCAGTCCAGGTCATTACAGTTAAATCCTTTCTCAGTATTTGACACATTGCCATTATGTCATAGCCCCTGATGGCCAAATGGTAAAATGACCAGGGGCGGATTGCAATAACCGGTCTTAAAGCTGTCTATGCGCATTAGACAGTCTAAAAGCTCTGGCTGTTAGTCAGTCTGTAAGTTAGACCATTGCAATGACACAGTCTAAGTAGTAAGACAGTCTTTAAATAATTAGCCTGGGTTGGGCTGGCTTAAAACGGTCTATAGTTGGGATTTTTGGAATTCATTGGTGTGTTGAATTATTCTTTCCCAAAATAATTTTTTTTAAAGTTGATGAGTGTTTGATAATTCAATCTTAAAATAGCAGAACACTGCTTGGAAGGAAAATTCTCTGGGATAGAAGGGATCTTCTGGAAAAATGTAATGACAATGAGTTGTACTGCAAATACAATTTTCTGAACATAAAATTTCGGAATTGACATTTGACTTTGCATGATATGAATCACACAAACCTAAAAAAAAAAAAATTGTGCAGTCTCTCCAGTATTCGCCCGTAACCATGGAATGTTTGTTTGTGAATCATTACTCTAAGCGGGCTTAGTAAAGACCAGCTTATTGCAATGGGCTAAGTTTGGTGTCTTAACCAAGACCGTCTAAGAACAATAGCCGGCTAAAATCGGACTGGTTTAGCCAGCCGACTAAGACCGCGTTATTGCAATCCGCCCCTGGATATACAAAAGTGGAGGCATATGAATGGCATTAAAGGTAATATACAACATTTGCTTTCACTGTAATTTTTAGAAATGGATGGATTATGAGTTTAGTATTTTATAGCAAATATTGTTACACTGACCTGTTTAAAGTTCTATTTTCATAGATACTGGAAAAAAAAACAGCAAAAAATACTGTTCTTGTAGTCTGCTCCCTGCCCCTACTTCAGACGAAACGGAGCATTTTATGTCAGGGCAGTATATGAAAAAAAAGTCAGAGTTTTTGCAACGATGGTCGGCCGACTATCGTTGGAAATAGATACAAAAATTCACTTTTCTTGAAAATGACAGCACACCAGGTGCCATGATTTCACCGGATGCTTATGACCATTATTCACTTACAGTCAAGTAAGGTTTTCCATAATAATTTGGTAGTTTTGTTTTTTGATGTTTGCAAATGTTGTATATTACCTTTAACAGGATGAAAAAATAAATATGAAAAAGACAGCTATATATGTGCTGGTCAGCGGTCTGTCTCAAAACCGGGTGTAAATAGGCTTCATCAGGCAGGTGTTAATCTATGTTTTCTTTCTCATGAAATGACAGAATATTTCTTTTCTCTGTTGATGGGATGCCAGTCCATCGTGGGTTATTCCCCAGCAAATGCCAGTATCCACTTAAAACTCCTTGATTGAAAGAGTGCCAATTGAAGTTGAAGTAGCTTGCTCAAGGACACATCAACCAGCTCTCAATTAAAAACGCTGACTTTCTGATCACGTGTAACAACCATAACCACTAGGCGACATTCCACCCATCAGGATCGTTGAAACAAAATATGTATGAGACTTGCTGTTGAAAAAATACTTTATGTTCATCGTTTCTGTATACAGTTCTGTTTATGTGGTCAGAATAGCATCCTATAAGTTGCCAATGAAGTTGTAAATGTCTGTTTTTTTTCCTTAGGTGGATTCCAACCTGTGCAGAGATCTTCATGTCTAGGAAGGAGCTATGGGGTCACTTGGTGCCACAGAATGACATTGAATCTACTCACAGGGTGCAGGAATTCTTTGCCTGTGTGGCAGCACTCATGTCTATTCATCTCAGGAGTATGGTCATTAACTCCTTGGCAGACTTCCTCAGGTTCTTCCAGATTCATGAGGTGATAATCTCATCAAATTTCTTACTTTTGGGTAGTAGTGGTATAATTACATCTGTGCTGATCATCCTGTCCTTGACAAAGAGTTTCTCCCATTGAACACAAGATTTCAGTCTTGAGTATCTTGCGAATGATTTCAGATTAGGTCATGCAAAGCACTTACCTTTACCACACAACTCGGGTGTACTTTTGGAGTACAGAGTCAAGCGACCCATGTGCTCTTCTTAATTTCTTGTTTTTGTTGCCCTTTACCTTTGAATGGCTTTTGGTCTTGAAATGGGCAACTGCCGTACAAATAAAAAAAAATTGAAACATTTTGTGCAAAACAAAATGATGACAATTTTGATTGTGTCTTTTCCTTACAGAATGGCAATGATTTTGCTGATGAGTACCAGGAGTTACAGTATGTGATGGCTCAGATCATGATTGTTAAGCTCAAGGTTGAAGAACCTCGCATCATTTTTGACCCTCCGTTCAGAGATTGCAGAGACATCATCCTGAGATGCTTCTCTGAGATCATTGCCAGTGCAGACCAGCTACAAAGGGTAAGCTGCTTGCTTAGAGAAGACTTCTCTTATCATAATGATCAGTGGCCATTGCTTAATATGCTTAATCAATATTTTCAAAAGATTGGTATTACTAAGTGTGCTATTGGGTTATTGGTATTACTGAGTGCGTAAAGTACTTGCCTCTCACCACTGTTGCCCGGGTTCGATTACCGGCTTGTATCATTTGTGATTTCAGTTGTTCATTGATTCTTGACTGTACCACAAGGGTTTTTCTCCTGTTCCTCCGGTTTTCCTCTTGCAAAAATTAACGCTTTCGATCGGGCTGTGCTCCGTGGTAAGACATGGGTCGCATGGCGGCTGCCTAAGGTGCCTCTTCATGCCTTGGCCACATACTTCAGTAAATAAATTAATGGGGAGGGGGGGGCTCATCATCCCCCAAATTTATTTAGTTATTGTTTTCAGCATGATGAAATTTGACATGACTCTTAAAATGATTGGTCATTGTACTTGTGAATTCATCTGTGATGTGCAGTTCTGACTGTTGTTGTATTAGTGATGAATCCAGTATTAATAATAATTAACAGGCTTACTCAGGACAGAAGCTTATTTCAAGTATAAGATTTATCAATAATAATGAGCTGGGCAAGTTGCATGGAACCACTTATTGGGAAGTATTGCTTGGCTAACATCAGTTATTACAGTAGACAAACGCTATAACAACAAAAGAATGCTCTGTGGCCATGTGTAGTAATTTTTGGCTGCCAATGTGGGTCTAACTGAACATAAAGCCGGGGAGCCATAGATGATGTTTGTAATAGCCAAATGTTAAGTTAACACATACACATGGCTGGTAGTCTGTATTTTTTTGTCAAACTTTGTCCACACTTGGCATATTTTTATGCTCAATAGCCCAGTGATAGTACTACTACATTTATTTTACACTAGTGCAGGGCCAGTCGCAAAATGTGCGTGTTCGGAAGGGGCAGTTGAGAACTGCAGCTCGTGCAAACAACGCACATTATTCAATGGTGTGAACGCACACTCGCAAGTTAAACTCACAAAATGTCGTCACCCCCCCTGGCACTGATATTTACCCCTACTAGACAATATGGTATCGCCCTACAACTGTAGGGCGTAGTTGTAGGGCGATACAATATTGTATTAGAGTTGCTCGGTCGACCGCCTACATACAGTGCAGTGATGGTTGCTCAGTTGAGTACAAAATGCATGTGCCCGTGCATGCCACTCACGCAAGAAGACATGGTGTGCAGTGCTATCGCCATACAATGTGCCCGTCCTTTTTCCATTGTTGCGTCATATTAAGCACGCGCGCTCTTGCTCAAACATGACGTAAACAATTGAAAAGAACATATGCCCGTGCATGCCACTCACGTATATGTACGTACGAAGACATGGTGTGCAGTGTTATCGCCCTACAATGTGCCCGTCATTTTTGCAGGGCCAGTAAAAAAAAATGCACCTGTTCGTTAGGGGCAATTTCAAAATGCTCATATCATGCTAACAACGCACATGATTCAATTGTGTTGTTTTCACAGGTTAAACTCACACTCATAGGTTGAGCGCACTTTGTACATGTCGCCAGGCCATCCCCGGCACTGATATTCACCCATACGCCCGTGCAGCTACTCACCTACGTGAGTAAGGTTGCTCAATCCACCGCCTACAATAGTGGTTCAATCGACTGCAAAATGCATGTGCCCGTGCAGTCATCATGTACGGAAACATATGGTATGCAGTGCTATTCACCCATACTGGACAATGGTATCGCCCTACAATGCACGTGCGCGTGCCCGTCCTTTTTGCATTGTTTGCGTCATATTGAGCACGCGCGCTCTTGCTCAAACATGACGTAAACAATGGAAAAGAACATCAGTGCGCGCCGGGTTCTAGGCTATATTCTGGCGCGCAAGGCCTCATAGTCAGGTGGCTTAGTGAAATTACCGTTACTCGGCGGATAAAAGCACCATATTTGGCACAAGGGTCCCTTGCGGCTTATTAATTAATGTTAGCCTAGGAGCCCTCCGGAATTAAAAAAAAAAATCATGTAAAACACATAATTTCAAAATGGCCGACATCCATGACAAAATATCGCTTTTCTCGAGTCCTGGGAGTCATAAAAAGCACAGGGTGGTTGCCAAATTTCTGACTTTTAGGCAGTTGAAGGTTACTTCCGACATTGTAATAGTACCAGTATATTTTTAAAATATTATTAATATCAATATCAACAGGAAAATTTTCAATAAACGTCCACCTTCATCTGGTTGGAAGGGAAATGTTATCACCCCCCCCAAAAAAAGTGAATAATTGTGAATCATGCATTTCAGTAACTAGACAACACTCTTTTTTGAAGCAACTAACACCACTGCTTTATTTGTAGGCCACAAAGTAGTTTTCAATTTTCATTACTACATGCATCTCGCATCACAGAGACTAGGCCATTGCAGGCATTTGAGTTGAAATGCAATGTATACAAAATTCTTACAGTTGCTTACAATGTATGTGGCATTGTTCTGTAATGTCTAACACACACTTTACAATGTTACAACTTGCAAAGTGGTGAGCAATCCAGATTTGCTTTGCCGCATTTGCGGCAAAAGCAGTCTCCTTTGCAGGAGCATATTTGATAAGCTCTCCTCTGCACGATCTGGAAATTTCTGAAATTTTCATCTTTACTGGTACCCATGACTGATATTTTGGGCCAGGCAAACTCCTGCGGAGATGGAACCAATAGCTGTGTTTGTGAGCTATTCGTCCAGATACCTGATTGATACACTGCCCGTCTGACATGCTGGAGTACCCCATCCTTGGTGGGTGGCAGTTTGTTCATTGCTCGATTCTTATGGCAGAAGAGTTCCCTTCTTATCCCATTGACAGAGCTCAGGGGACATGGTTTTATCAAATAGGATTACAGTCAGTCGCTCGATCCTTAGAATATGGTCATCGTTGAGATCCAGCATCTGGAAAGGATGACCAGCCAGATACATGTCTCTGTGACGTCTTCATTGTCCTGCACTGAGGCCTGCCCAACCGACCTCTTATACCCTTGAAATTAAAAGCAAAGGTAGTGTCGCAACCTGAAAATGCGTGGAACACAGGTAATGCTCATGATTGAGGCTCCCCCAGGTTTGCGCAGATGGCCTTGATGTGGTAAAACTTGTAATTTTTACCCATGCCAAAGACCACCAAGATGTCGGCCAAAGGTTGAGTCGCAATCAGACTTGGAATGTGCCAACAAGGATGACTACAGCATCTGTGTCCCTAGTACGCACATAGTCTTTCACCCCTGTTTCAGTGCATGTAGCACATGAACCACAACACAGGTGTCCTCATGATTACAGTTTTGCATGGGGGATGCTGCCACCAATGGATGCCACAGCTTGTTCTGATGTGACATATACAGCTTTGGCTGATGGCCAGTTCAACTCTTCAACCTTGGAAGTCAAAAAGCAAACAGCTCCTTCTAGTTGGTTGGGTCACGGAGGAAGTCCATCCAATTGCCTAGCACTGAGTTTGGTCTCACCCGACACTTTCCTGCGTACACCCTTACATCTTTTCCCCCGGATTGACTCCTTTAAACTGTCTGGGATGTATGTGTCCCACACAACATCCAACCTCGCGGCATCCTGCAGCTGCTTCCCCAGGTAAGGGATGAAGACCCTGTCTGCACACTCATTGAAGGTGCTGACGCCGATAGTGGGCAGGCAGTGTACGATAACGGCACCATCCAGGACTTTGCAGTCATAGGTTGAAAGTGGCTCTGATTGACGTGGCTGCTCAAGACATTTCAGCAGGTCAGACATCGTACTTGTCAAATGAAGCTTGTCAAAGTCTGATAGGTAAGGAGGGAAGGACTGTATCTCATGTGCAAATAATTCGGCCAAGTCACCATCGCGGTTCTGCGTAGAGTAATGTATAGCTGACCAAAGAGTGCCAGATTGTGCTGAAGCACTTTGATCTTCTTCACCTGCTTAGATGTTGCCTTGCGTTTAGGTTCCCTGAATAGTGCTATAGAGAATTGCTCTTGACTGGATTATGGATAGAGTGGCTGCGCACATCAAGCACATTCTTGACGAAGCCTTGAACTGTTTCTTGCCTTTGTCATCCATGGTTCGCAATGCGGCCACCACTGATTCATCCGTGCAGTTGCGACTGTCCAGAGTTACAAGAAGGGATTGATCATTTGTCTGATGGTATCAGCGAGGCTGGCAACCTGTCTCTTGAAACTCATCTGTGTTGAGAGACCCTGCTCGTGGTGCTGGAAGTTCTCTGGGATCCCTGTGTCATCATTGGGAAGGTATTCTTCTTTAAATTGCTTCAGCAGCCTAGCCATCTCTGGTCCCGAGATCATCCATCGTCGAAAAGCAACAGGATTTGCTGTGAGCCCAACAGCACCACCCAAAACTTTCACAATCTTGTTCTCAAACTCATCCTTGATAGTGTCCGGAAAGGACTTTATAACCTTGATGTGGATAGGTATCCACATCCATGGACCCTGATGAAGATGAGAATGAGGGTTTCATATCTCATGATCAGGTCCCAGAACATGGAAGTACGACTCTTCTTCTGCATGTCGTTGCTCCAAGCCGTGGCCGACTCTTCATCTTTGGCACCCTCGCTGCGCATGAAGGCCTCCATGTGTTTCTCGGCTCCGGCCTCAGCTAAGCATATCTCAACTGTAAATTCGTCACATTCTTGCACCGCAACAGCAGTAGTCTTCAAAAGCTAGGGCTGGTACACAGGTGAGCTGTCAGGAAAAGTGTGCTTTTCATTCCCAGAAGATGGTATCGTAATAGGTGGTCAGCTCTCACCAGTTTGGTCTTGGTAGGCAACAGGAAAAGGCTGATTCCAGTCCCGTGGAATGAGGTTAATGGTTATACATCTCCTCCTCTTTTTAACATCCCCCCACTTGTTCAGGTATTTTTTTAACTATAACCAAAATATATTCAATAGCACTGAAAAAATTGAGATAAACAGGGGCGGATCTAGGAGTGTTTTGCAAGGGGGTTCATCAGCAAATGAGTGCAGAACCATAGACGGGTTGTTTTTGTTCGAACACTTTGCTCCGTTATATCAATAGGTGGGTGTGCGGGTTGGGAGGGGGGGGGGGGGGCTCGCTCGTGCAGGTACCATACTTTCAACGGGGCGCTTATTAGGCCTACCCGACGATTATTAAGACTATATTACAGAATAATGCACAAATACCCCCTAACCAAGCTGGCTCTATCCGTATTTTGTGCACAGACGGACATAATACGAGTATAATTTGTTTCGGGTGTCAGAATGTTTTTTGACAGAGCTGAGGGGGGGGGGGGGGGGGGCTTGCGCCCAAACCTCCCCACCCCCGGATCCGCGACTGATGTACAAAAGTTTGAAATGCGCCAATTCGATGTAAGCGCAAGTATACCGGTACATTCCGATATATAATGAATAGTGCCAATAGTGTGATGTGAAGCAGCCCCCCCCCCCCCCCCACCCGCTTCAGTTTCGGATTCCTCAGCCGGGCGATTTTGGGCATCCCCAAACCCCCACACGCCGTCACAGATTTACGCCACGGAAAATCAATATTTTGCCATCTCTCTGAACTTCTTATGATTCCCAGGACTTAACAAAAGTGATATTTTGTCATAGATGTCGGCCATCTTGAAATTGAGTGTTTTACATGAGTTTTTTTAAAAACCTCCGGAGGGCTCCTAGGCTAACATTAATTAATAGGTCCTAAGGGAGCTTCATGCCAAATTTGGTGCTTTTATCCGCCAAGTAACGGTAATGTCAAATATGACACTAAGCCACCTGACTATCAGAAAATACTGCTTTTTTTGCAGCTTTTTCTATAACCGCTCGTCCAAACCACTTCAAACTTGGCACTGCACATTCGGTTGTCCCGAGCAATACACCCGCCGAATTTCAACTTCATACGTTGCCCGGTTCTGGAGATAATCGGCGGACAGACAGACAGACAGACGGACAGACAGACAGACAGAGATTCCTTGAATTGTAGTATAGATAGTGCTGAATTAAATTGATTTGAATTGCTGCATGTGTTATATTGTAGGTGGAGTGCGCCATCTTCCCTCAGATGCAGAATCAACGCCTACTCCTACGATCAGTCAAAGTGGATGAGCCACTGGTTGAGGACTTCATTGATAAAGCCATGCAGATCTTCAAATTCAACACAGTTGGACCCACTAGGTCAGTAATTTCTGGCTTTTGAAGTCGGAAAGAACTGAACCCCAAATCTGGCTTGTCAAAAGCTTTTGCCGTTTGCATGAACTCCCATAATTGAAGTGATAATGGTTGTGCATTATTCAATTCATGTAAACAGTGTACCATTCCACCAGACCTGCATTATGGATCAGGTTTTTTATCGTGGACTCCATGCACAAACAAGAGAGGGTGCTATCTGACCACTTTTGAGAGCTCGTGAATGGGACACGACACATGCGTGTGCTGGTTCGCCCGTGTGTAGCACAAAATATGCATGACTATTTTATTCTGAATGTGCACAGAGCCCTAACCATCTTTGCATAAGCGTCGAGTGTCCTTGGCAATACGTTCGAATGTCTCTCCCAGTAGTCTCCCAACTCTCCCTTTCTCACCATTGAGGGGGTACTTGTACACGGAGCCCATAGCATCATAAGTGAATGCATCTTGTATTTAAATACACTGTCAGCATTATGGATAGATATTTAGATTGAATCTTTGGCATTTGATCTGTACATATTTGCTTGTATCAGTTTTTATATTTTTGTCTAACTGATAGCCAGCGAAGAAACTTCTCTGTTTTCATATTGATGTTGTGTCCTTGGATTAGCACAGACATGTTTCCTTTATGTTATCTAGCACAGTCAAACAGTCGTTTCCCACTGTGTCTACCGACTGAACTTTTAGTGGATGAGTAATTTCGACTTGCTATGCATCTTTGTGTGAATATTTGTCAGAAGAGCTTAGTCTAATGAAAATTTTTCCCCACAGGTATCTGAACACCTACAAGAAGTACAATGACCTGCTGAACACCAAAGCAGATGCTGACGTGGCAGCTTTCCTGAAGGAACGCCATTCCTTGCAGGGATTTGTCAAGAAGATTGCTAGTTACCAGCAGCTGAAGGATGAGATAGCTTTACTCAGGATCACTGTACCACTCAGTATGTTCTGCTTGGACTGTCGTCTGCTCAATGCTGACCTCTGCTCACGAGCACAGAAACTCAAGGAGAAACTCGTCCTGTTTGAAGTGGAGGAGAATAGGATGTTAAACAAAGGGTTGGTAACTATTTCAAATTGAATACAAAACAAGGAGTGTATTTGCTAAGTCAACAAACACAGCTGTTTCAGCTGTTTTTGTTTTGTTTTGAAGATGCGAGTAATGTGTTTCAACCCAATCGGACTTATAGTTCGGGAGATATAGGGCCTTGAAAAAGGCACCTTTAATGTGATGTCGAGTGACACATGATGACATCATCATAACATTCATGTTGGGCAATTACATAGCTGCCAACTATTACGATTTTTTCGTAATTATTACGAATTGTTTGTTAAATTACGAAAATACGATTTGCCACTAAAGCATTATGTATTTCCCATTTTCTCCCTAACAAAAAAAAATACTCGTAAAGTATCGTTTTTGACCGAATACTTCTGTCGAAATGTTGCGATAATGGATGGACTGGTGACAAGTCTAATAAGCAATGCAGTCAAGCACCTGATAGACATCAATGCAGTGTGCGCATTTTTTAATTATCTTTTGGCCTACAGTACATTATTATTCACAACAAGAATGGTTTGCACATGTAAACCATGTACCTGTACTCGATGTTGGTAAAGCTGGTACATACACTTTTGATAATAGGAGCAGTTGAAAATGACTGCGCGGGTTGATTACTAATTGGGATTTTGAAAAGTTGGCAGCTATGCAATTACCTTTGGCTGGTTGTCTGTGTGTGTGAAAGTTTAAACTCGATCAGAAAAAAAGACAAAATTGGGTTTAATTTTAAAAAGGTGTACAAAGTCTATGGACCAAAATGGGGGAAAAAAGGGGGAAAAAGCTGTTTCATTGCAAGAACAGCTAAACTTCTGTCACTTCTGCTTTGTGATAAATAATTGATTTATCATGTACACTTGAACACTTTCTCTGCTATACCTTACAATACATGTCGGAGTTTGCTGTAAGAACATGCCTTATGTTTATTGCATGAACATTACAAGTTGTCTTTACAAGCTGTACACGTACACTTTATGGGGAGGGTTTTGAGATATCCAGTGATTAAATGGCAGATCTGTAGTTTAACTCGTCTGTGATGTGTTTGACTAGATTGTTAGAGAGTCAGGCCAGAAATAAAATGCTAAGTTTTCTGGTCACCTTTACGACCCCAAAGTACATAGGGTAGGCAGTTAATAATTTTTGATGGTTTTATTTTTAAATTTCTTTGTTGATAGTGTTTTTCAAATTTATTTATATATATTTTTGAAGTGTAAAAATATTCAGAGTATAAAGGATAAACTAAGTATATTTTAAAACCAAATCTAAAATAATATGAATTTGTTTGTCTTGACTTGTCTTTGACTAGAATCTGCCGTCGTTATGATGAGATTGCGGATCGTCTGGGTGAGATGCCTAGTACCACCGCTGAGATTGTGGCACTGTCTGACTTCCTGAGAGAGTCCAGTGAAGTCACTGTCTTCAAACTCAAGGATGAGATAGATGAAGCTGCCAATCGACTCACGTTTCTCCTGGACTATGCAAACTTGCCATGTAAAAAATCTCACACTATTTTCTCCAATTTCTCCTTATTATTTCTGGAAATAAGCCAAGGATTCCACAGCAGTGCCTGTAGCACAAGATTGAAGACAGCTGTGGAGAAGAGACAAGGACAAATTTAGATGTGGAAGAAAACCCCTGATAAATAGTCAGGAGAAAACCCAACAAGTCGGGTAGGGATCAAAACTCAATCCTCAGATCGGCCTGGGGTGCAAAGAAAAGTCCTAATGTGCCAACCTGATAGAGTAAACGTCTCTTTCACTTTTTCAGCTGGGCTGAAAACAGTGTTTTGCTTAAAGACTTTTCTTGGTTAGAGTAAAAAAGAATAAAATTAAATCAAATTCGAATTGAATTATTAAACTCTGATTTTTATGGACATCTTTGGGGGGGTTACAGATGAAGACATCAAGCTGAACAGCACAGTATTTCACTGGCCAGAGCACATTCAGACTGTCTTTGAGGTCTGTCGGAATCGTCTCATGACCAGACGAGAACAGGCTGAGGAGGAAGTCCGTAAGAAGGTCCAACGCTTTGAGGACAAACTCAACGAGTATAACAGGGAAGTGGAGTCATTCAGGAAGAAGGAGGTATGTTAATGGTCACATGTCTTGATGATATCAGAGAATCTCAAAACAAAGGAAAATGTGTATTCATTGTTTTAACTCTTTTGCTACGGAATTTAATTTACCTATTTTGTCCCAACTGGACGTAATAAATCGCTGGAAATTCCGCCGAGCGTCGATGTGGGCGCCGCCATCTTTAAATGTATCTCCGTAAACAAACTGCTCACAATAACCTGCAGTGCACCCCGGCCAGACGGAGAGCCGCTGGCAGCGGCTCAAACTAGGGTCAGAGGTTATACGATATAAATTATGTAGATAAGGCACACGTCATGGGGATACCCCGTTTATTCACAGCGACGTCAACGAGCCGCTGCCAGCGGCTTGCCGTACGACCTGTACAATTTGTATGTGCCGCTGTCAGCGGCTCGCCGTAGCGAAAGAGTTAAGATAGCGTACTGGTGACTAAAATAACATCAGGGATTTATGTATATTCTCTTTCATAGAAACACTGTCAAAGCCTCAATACCCACCAAGATAGGAAGAAATGAACCTATTGCAAATGTCTAACTCAGCTCACCCAATGCATATATAAGTTCTGATTCCTTCTACCCGGACGATAGGAGACATTCACAAACCATCCACAAATGGTTTAAAACATTTCATTATTTCAAAACGTCTGTCGTATTAATTTAACTTATTTGACTCTGCATGCTGTTTATTCATTGATGCATTATGTTGTATTTTGTGTTTCAATCCATCTTTCTATCTGGCTGAATGTAGTTACGGGGAAAGGTAAATGGAGCCTGCAATATTCAGTGTGTGTTTGACCCTTGCATTTGTATTAATATTTTGCACTGTTAATTCAACTTAGTTTTTTTAAAAAGCTTCTTAAACTGGAAGCATTACTTTGTCTTTAGGTTGTTTCGAAGATAGCCTTTTGTTTTCCTAAGTTTATTACCCTCACCGAATGTGAATATTTGTGTTGTCAAAATAAACCACACTAGGAAACTGACTAGATTAACTTTTAATCAATAAAGGATGAACACAGAAATATTAGATCAGGAGACCAAGGGTGAGATTTGTCAGGATATCTCCTGATTTCAAGATTTTTAAAGAAATCCCTTTTGAAATCTGGAATTCCTGAGGTTTTACCAGAAAGGTGGTTTACCTATAAGGTTTTGTATATAGAAAAAAGGAAATTGGTCTATTAGAGATGCTTGTAGGCAAATTTATACAGACATATACCATAGACCCTACATTGCTCTCGGCCCTCGGCAACCCTCAAACCTTCTGTTGAGGCTGGTTATTTTGTGGATTTTTCATTTTCTCCAAATCTCACCCTTGCTGGAGGTCAATGGTTCAAATCTCACAAAATGTCACAACAGAATCTTAAATTGATTTGCACTTGTGGTTTGCTGTGTGTGTTTGTGAGAGAATGCCTCCATTTCTCATGGAAACTGATGAGAGATTCTGTGTGTGTTTTTAGATGCTGAGCATGGATGAGATGACGACCAACGTGAATCGCCTGAATGAGCTACAACAGCTTCTAGAAGCCTCACAGGATGAGCTAGATGGACTTAATAAAGAAGAAGAACTGCTGGAATGGGAGGCTAGTCAGTTCCCCATTCTCACTTCCATGTTTAGCGCCAAACAGCCATATGATCAACTTTGGAACACTGCTCTCAACTTCCACACTAAATATGAGACCTGGTTGAATGGTGAGTAAAATACTCAAAATACTCATAATACTGGGATCTCTACAGACTGGATCCTGATTTTTAATTTTTTTTTTAATTTTGAGACATTGAAATTCAAAAAAAATATGTTGTATATGCAACTGAGGGAAAGCTGTAGCCACCCCTAGCCTTATCCATAGAACAAGGATCGCAGTTTCAGGCTGTAGCCTGAAGTCAGGTTTTTTTCTGTGTTTTTGAAAAACAAATTCAGGTATTCTATCCCTTCGCAGACCAGAAAAACAAACCATCATGCTGTGTGCACTGTTAAAGGAAAAAAAATCAACAGCTACATGTTGTCATTCAGCCAGTAGGAAAATATGTTGCACTTTGTTGAATGTTAGTATTGTAAGGTCAATGTAGACGTGGTATTGCACTGTATTTATGGCGTATTGCGATCATTTTGTGCATGTGTGCCATCTTTCACATGTCAAATTTTTCTGGCCGTGGAGCAAAAACCCACTGGCATCCCGGCATAGAATCATACCTGGTGGTTTACTTAGGGTCTCATTTCATGACACTACTAATTTACAGCTGGAAATTCTGTGCTAATAATTAACATGTCACAGCAAGAAATGTTGGCCTGTAGGTAAGCATGTCCACATCCCAAAACTAAGATGTTGTTCATACAGAGATACGTTGGTTTAAAATAAAAATAGATCAAAGAAAGTTGCCCAACGTAAGCTCCTGGAAAAGGCCTCTTGAAGTGAGGGAATCACAAAAAGGGGAAAGAAAACGGAGCTCAGAAAATTAACAGATTTTGGTAATCGTAAGGGCAGAATTATGTGGTTTGCAGAACCATGAAATTGAGCCCAGGAAGGATTGAACCACGAAATAATGGCCACGCCAAACCAAGCTCATTATCTCCCCCCCCAAAAAATTTGGGTTGTAGGTCCATTTCAAGACTTGAATGCCGAGCAGGTGAATGATGAGGTAGACAGCATGTTCCGTACCATGTACAAACTCAGCCGATCCTTTGCTGACCAGCCCGGTCCTCAACGCATCGCTAACAACGTCAAGAGCAAGATTGACAAGTTCAAAGTTCACCTGCCTCTGTTGGGGGTCATCTGTAATCCTGGCATCAGGGATCGCCACTGGGAAAGGGTGCGTAGAAACCTGTTAATAATTACTACCCGAGTAGATTTTCAACGTCTGGGTCCCATTTCATATCAGCTTAGAACCATTCACAATTAATACACGTCCCACGCAATTGTGGGAGGGAACCAGATTTCGCTAAATACATATTTTCCATACTTAAGAAATTTCTGTGTCTAGCTGCTCCATAAAATTGACTCCTGTTTTTTAGTTTGTCTTTTTTATCCCTCCAAAACTTCTTTTAAAAACTCTTTAAAAAAAAAATAATGAATAAACTTTACTTTCAATTCTAGAAAGCTGTAGGATTGATAGTGTTGAATAAAATAAAATTATATTTTTTTCTTTTGATTTTTTATTGGACCCACTGGATATAGTTGTTATTTGACAGTTCATCTTATAATATTCAAATAATGAATGTTTATGAGTGCAATAGTAAGAATAATTTCATTCGGTGACAGATGAAATGTTGCATTCCATGAGGCGAAGCTGGCTGGAATGAACATTCCATTGGTCACCTCTGGAACATTCCATATGTAACCGAATTAAATTATTCTTTCCACTGCACCAATGTGAAACATTCATTATTTGTTTTATACTATGCCTGAATAAATCCTTGTCATCTGACTGGTTAACTTGTGTGACCGTGCAATGGAACTTCTATTTACCATGGAATGCGATGCGGTCTGGCCGTGGGTTGGTATGAATACTTCATTGACATGTATATAACGACCCATCAATCAGATGACGGGGATCTATTCAGGTAAAATAACAATTTCTCACCCCAAACACCAAACCCATGATAAAGTCCATTAGTAACTTTTTCATGTTATGATCGTCATTCATTTGCCTTTGTTTCTGAATTTTCTTTTAGATGAGTGAGGTGGTTGGATTTGAGCTGAAACCCAAGCCAGAATCCTCCATGTATCACATGCTGGAGCTAGGACTGACTAAGCACATTGACAAGTGAGTCTATGGTATCACCATAGAAGGCTATTCCTTCCTCATAGATGTGGATTATATTGCTATGCTAATCTGTGCACAATAGTCATTTGACTCAGAATCTGCGTCAAACTCCACCTGGCCACAGAATATTCAGAGTCAGGGTTAAATTTTGAAAAATTCATTTGTGGGCGATTCCAGCATTATGAAAGGAAGTGTAATGTCTGTGACAGAGCCAATTAACCATGATATCTACTTAATGATTCATAGAAATGATCCAAAACTCCTCGTCTGTAATCTCCTTGACCATTACTAGACGTTGGATGTATAAGATTTGAAAAATGCATTTTCAGGTGTATTACCGGAGCTCTTAAAAGTTCTGTCACAGACATTACACTATGCTGGAATTGCCCCTTTAGAAATAGGATACTATTTGTACTATCATTTTATATACGTGATCTTTGTTGCAAGAGTGATAGTCTGCATGTAACTATCTTGAGAAGATCTCTTGATTCCAAATAAAGATTGTTTCCTTACCAACTGTGCTAAAGAGTGAAAAGTGAAATCGTTTTATACCATTTAGAAATAGGAAGACTTAATCCATTTGACTGAGGTTCTTCAACATTTACTGCAACTTTTGGTGTTTAATTCATTAGTTCACTGCTCCCAGTCATCCTGCCTGTTACTCCTTAAACCACCCAAACTGCCCCAGCACTGTATTCCTTCATGGATTCATTCAGGAAAAAATATAGTGTAATACAATAGAAATCAAATACTAATTGATTAAACCCAATGATGTGTCTCTAAATGTCTGAATCTAATGTCCCTGAATCCAGCCTTATAAGTGGCTGCAACTTATGATATGTGTTTGTTTGTTTTCAGTCTTGAGGAGATAGGAGCCGCAGCTAGCAAGGAATACTCCTTAGAGAAAGCTATGGAAAAGATGAAGATTGAATGGGCAGATGTACACTTTGAGTTTATTCCATACAGAGACACTGTAAGTTGAACACTGTTCCTATTACATAATCAGCAGTTGAAATTCTGACTTAAAAAGGTGTATTTATTTGGAGACCAGGATATTATTAAAAAAAACAATTATATCAAAAGAAGTTTTATATTTTGGTTGAACTAAGAACACTGAATGAAGTTGGATTCCATCCATTCCATTTAGGACTACCAACGTCAGTCTTCTTACTAATCAGAAGCCATGAAACCTGCACACTCTTTTACGTGACCACTTAAATTCTTTAGAGATCATGCACAAAAACACGGTGCTCATTAGTTAAAGGGAATATACATCATTTGCTTTTGCTGTAATTTTCAGAAATGGATGGAATTGGGGGGTTGGAAATATATAGCAAATATAGTTACACTGACTTTTTTGAGGTTTTGGGTTCGAAAATGCTATAAAAACCAAGAAAAACGATCATTTTCCTGTAGTCTGGTTCCCTGACTCCATATAAAAAGAAACAGCAGTTTACATACATTGGGGAATTGTAAGGTCAGGGAACCAGTCTAGCTGGCTCGTACCCGTTCATAGGTTTGTAATAGATTGCAAACAAGTGCAAAGGTCAATTGGGGCCAGTATTTGAAAAAAAGCCAGTTGTTTCCAACGCTGATCGGCCGATCAGCGTTGGAAATTGATACAAAAATACCACTTTTCTTGAAAATGACAGTACACCAGGTGCCATGATTTTACAGGATGCTTTACACTGTCATTCACTAACAGTCCAGCAAGGTATTTCAAAATGATTTGGTAGTTTTATTTTTTGACATTTGCAAATGTTGTATTTTCCCTTTAACAGTACTGAAACCCAGGAAATTTAAAATCATCGTCATAATAAAAATCTCAAGGGGAAAATCGATTGAGAACACAGATCATCTTTCCATTGTGTGTTTGATTTATACCCAATTTATTCTAGAAGTAACAAGCGTTTTTGTGATGATGGTTCATTTGTTTTCAGGGCGTGTCCATCTTGTCAAGTATTGATGAGATCCAACTGCTTCTGGATGATCACATTGTCAAAGTACAGACCATGAGAGGCTCACCGTACATCAAACCATTTGAGAATGAGATGAAGGTATGTACAGAAATGTTACCAAGGCCGATCTGTTAGGCCATGGCCTACGTACACGTGTGGAACAACAGGAGTGCCTCTTCAGTGCCACACTGCATGTTCCAGGCACATGTGTCATAGGCACGTGCACGCTTGTTAGACTTTTGTGCACACATGTCAGTTATTAATCACAGCTGTGATTGGTCAAAACACCATAGAGTACCGAAGTGTGACGTCATTTAAAACCAGGAAGTGTAGTGCAAACGAATGGAGTACGCGTGTGTTGGTTCACCGGCTGAATCACACGCTAATGTCTTTTACACACATAGTTGTGATGTATTCACTTCGGTACTCTATGGGGCTGGGCTGAATGGATCTGTCTATTGCTCTGTCTGGCCTGTCCTTAAGAGCAAGTGAAAGACACACTGCCTTGCATAGACTGGTGTATGTGAGTCGTTCTATAACTTTAGGGTCCAAAGGGTGACATTTTCCCGTCCCTGTTACCTGTGAACTTTGTCAGTTGTCATTCCATTATCATTAAGAGTGACTTCAAATGAGTTTTTATGAGTTGGACAGGTAGTTTGCTATTCATGATCACTCTTTGAGTATGACTGCATTAAGAATGATAAAATCATAGATGTCAGATATAACATGGACAGGAAAACAATGGACCCCAAATTTATAGACCGACCCACGTACAGAATACACACCACTGATTTTTTACTGATGTGCAAAAAAATTTGTATCTTCTCATGAGAAAATTGTATCTAGCTGAGTTCAAACGCAAAGTGGCATGGACACAAGTGTCCTTCGGTAATAGTTATGCTTGTCCTTTTTACCATTGAGAGGTTAGTTATACCTGCAGGTGGTTACATACTTTGCACATACAGAGAACAGTATTGAATAGGGCATTTGGCTTTAACCTAGTGTAATCAGTCTCTTATGACTTCAATATAGGCAATATATGTTTTTTCTTTCAAAGGTCAAATTTGTTTATATTCTGGCCTTTTTGTACTCGCATATATATTATTAGAGCTCCAATTTCATGGCCAAACCTCACAAATTACATGAAGTATTTCAACTCGTAATAACCCTATTTTGATCTCTGTTTTAATCCTGAATGAGAACAGTAATAATAATAAAGATGTTACTTTGTTTTAGGAATGGGAGGAGAAGTTGGTGACAATGCAGGATATCTTAGATGGCTGGCTGAAATGCCAAGCTACTTGGTTATACCTGGAGCCTATCTTCAGCTCTGAGGATATCATGGCTCAAATGCCTGAGGAAGGACGCAAGTTTGGCATTGTAGACAGCTACTGGAAAGACATCATGGCAGAGTCGGTAAGGCTAGATCACATTGCAACTTGCATAGAAACTATTTGTGATTTTACATTTTGAAAGAAAGAGTTTTAGCCGAGTCTGTCACATGTCAAATCACAAACCCATCACAAGTCAAATCTTAGGCCAATCACAAGTCAATCACAAGCCCATTACAAGTCAAATCACAAGTCAAATCACAAGCCCATCACAAGTCAAATCACAAGTCATGTGACAAGCCCATCACAAGTCAATCACAAGCCCACCACAAGCCAATCACAAGCCCATCACAAGTCAAATCACAAGCCCATCACAAGTCAAATCGCAAGTCAAATCACAAGCCCATCACAAGTCAATCACAAGCTCATCACAAGTCAATCACAAGCTCATCACAAGTCAATCACAAGCTCATCACAAGTCAATCACAAGCTCATCACAAGTCAATCACAAGCTCAACACAAGTTACATCACAAGTCAAATAACAAGCCCATCCTAAGTCAAATGACAAGCCCATCACAAGTCAGTTCACAAGCCCATCGCAAGTCAATCACAAGCCCATCACAAGTCAATCACAAGCTCGTCACAAGTCAAATCACAAGTTAAGTGACAAGCCCATCATATGTCAAATGACAAGCCCATCATATGTCAAATCACAAGCCTATCACAAGTCAAATCACAAGCCAACTCAAGTCAAATCACATGTCAAATGACAAGCCCATCACAAGTCAGTTCACAAGCCCATCGCAAGTCAAATCGCAAGCCCATCACTAGTTGCATCACAAGCTAGCAAGATCGAAGTAACAAAGGATCGAGAATGACAAGTGAATACTTTTACACAAATAATTTAACTAGCTTGTGACTTGTCGTCTGACTGGAGTGACTACAACTCTGTTGGAAGTTATACATGAAGTTTTCATACATAATGTTATTGTGATATTTTATTTGCAAATGACCCATCAGTAATTAAAAACATGATTTTAAAGGCAAAACTGTGCACACATTTTTGCATTGAATGTGCACACAACCATATCATTGTTTTGAACCATTTTCCAGTGCTTGCATGAAATGAAGCAAGAAAATATTGGAGCATGACTGAAAATTATGGGTAGTGCTCTGCTGTTACACTGCGTATGACGTATGGAATTATCACCTCTTGGAAGGTGTCATCAATTAAAATTAATCAAGAGAAAGAATTACTTCTTAAGAGTAATTTTGAGAAACATAATTTTCATGCCATCGAATGGCTAATGCTTATTTCCTTGTACCTGAGAAATACAACTCTTGCTGTGTATGTAGCCCATGTTATAGCTGTCTCTTGTTTAAGTGTGTTGATCACTGTTGCTTGTGTCACATACTTAAGCTGGTAGTATCTGTTTGTCTCAAAATGGAAAAGCATGAAATGTAAAGTATGGCTTGACATTTTTGTCTGTTTCTGAAACAGGTTAAAGACACCAAGGCTTTGGTGTGTACAGCCCAGCCCAACATGCTTGGCCGTCTCAATGAATCCAATCAACTCCTTGAGGAGATCCAGAAGGGGTTGAACAACTATCTGGAGAAGAAACGGCTCTACTTCCCACGGTGAGAACAACACATCTCACTAGCCTGAAACTATTATTATTATTTATAAGATTTGAGGCTTTGCATGGTGGAGTATCAGTACTGCTTTGGTTTGCGGTAACACCATGTGGTAATAACTACTGCTTAGAAGATAGTTAGTTCGAAAAAGAACTTGTCCTGATTATTATCAACTTTGCTAAGTAGTTTTTTGTTCTGATAAGAACAGTCCTGCTTTAAGTTCTTAAAGAACTTGTCTTTGGTCTCACAGAGACCACAGAGACGCTCATGCGAAGATGCTATGGCTTTGTGCACATTCAGACTAAAAACAAATCATGCGTACTATGTGCAATACGCACTCGAACCAATACGCACATGCGGTGTGTCCCGTCCACTGAGCTCTCGAAAGTGGCAAAAAAAGGCCCTCTCTCGTTCACACACGAAGCCCATACACTTTAAACTAGTTTGACTTGGAAATAGAAAGCTGCTGCATATTGCTTCCTGACTGTATTCAACTGATTGAAATTGTAAACAGAGGCCCTGATATTTTAATCCTGAATCTTTTTCAAAAGTAAATTATTCCAACTGTTGGCAATGGCCTTATTCATGAGTTGGCCATTTTTGTCAAGCGCCAGACTATTTATGCAGGTACAATGCAGCCTTATTTTACTGTCTTTTTTTTTAATATGGCTTTAAAGGGAATTAGGGAATTTTTAATTACAAATTTGAAATTATTCATTGAAGCCGACTGGAATTAATTAGGAATTAACTTGCTTTCATTTCACTTCGCAAGTTCCAAAGATTAAGATTGTACCTCACTTTCTATTCAATATGGCCGACTCGTGAATAAGGCCCATTGTTTGATTCTACAAGATTCCATTACAATCTACTTGCAGCAAGCTCATGCTTGATGAGTCTCTCTCTCTCCCTGTATGACTTGCAGTTTCTTCTTCCTGTCCAACGATGAGTTGTTGGAGATCCTGTCCGAGACCAAAGATCCTATGCGAGTCCAGCCTCATCTCAAGAAATGCTTTGAAGGTATCTCCAAGCTGGAGTTCACTGATCAGCAGGAGATTGTCGGCATGATCAGCGCTGAGAAGGAAACGGTGCCATTTGCCACCAAGATCTTCCCTGCTAAAGCAAAGGTCAGAAACAATACATGGCTAGCTCATGTGAATATAGGTGTGGTCAAGTCAATCCAATGCCTGATCACAATTAATGGCATATAGGATCATTTGCTTTCTCATGCATTTTGTTTGTTTCCAAACATAACGCCTCTCAAAATCCAAAGAAGACTGTTCAGTGGATATTACACTTTTCGGAAAACAGTCAAAAACCATGCACAACTTTTGATCTCGAAACACAATTTCGTAAGTCGCACTCTTTATTCCAAAAATCAGTTTATTGACTGATAATTGAAAATCACCTACATTTCTTGATTTCTTCGGAATGACAGCAAGCCAGACAGAATAATTTCACAGTGTGTTAGTACCAGTACGATCTTTAATCCAAGTAAGCTTTTGATAATAATTAGGTCGGTGACTTTTGCGATAAATGCAGATGATCCCTAATGCCTTTAAAGTCATCAGTAACTGGGGAGTAAAATGACAAGGCAATGCCTTTGTCACAGTTTCATAGCTCAACAAGACTGGATGACTGTGATTGACTTGTGATGCCACGTGAGGACTTTACAAGTGGAAATAATTCACAATTTGTTGCAGTCAACACAAAAGGAAGGATTCCTTTACTGCAACTTGGTTTTCATTACTTTTACAATCTGTATTTTTCTAAAAGAAGTAACCACATACGTGAATGTACTCCATTAAAATTGTGTTTATTTCTATTTGTACTTCTAAATGGTAATGTTAAAAAGTATCCATTAATGATCAGAAATTCATGGTACATCCCTGCTGAGGATATTGCGCTGTACCGCACCAGAACAAGATCTAGAACCAGATGCTGTCTGTTGAGATTAATTGTATTAACATTCTATATGAATGAACCTTACTTACACAATTTCCATTTACCATTAGCAGTGATAAACTTAATGGATAATTTAAAAATCTAATTGTAGTGATCCTCTGTTGTTGTAATTTAGGGAATGGTAGAGAAGTGGCTATTGCAAGTTGAGGAGGTCATGATATCCAGCGTACGTAAGGTCATCCAGGAAGGCACGGCTGCCTATGCCAACCTGCCTCGCAATAAATGGGTACTTGACTGGGCTGGCCAGGTGGTACTGTGTGTGTCCCAGATCTACTGGACTGAGGAGGTGGCTAAGGCTATCAAGGAACCCGGTGGCCTCAAGGTATGAATGTGTTTGATCATGCAAGTTGGATATATTGAATCTAGATAATGAGGAACTAGCTAAAGCTGTGGCTAATGGTCATAGTGAGATTGTGCATAGTGAGAATGGTTTGCAGATGATGTCGTAACTCATTTGTCTGCCATCTTGGTTGATTTGGGGCAGGTGGTTATAACACTTTCATAGCAAAGTTGCTTCAGAGATTGTAAATTATCTCCATTACTCGAAATAAAGTGAATCCGAAATGAAGCAAAAAGCCCCGAGACAGTTCGGAAATTCACGTGGTGTATTATTTTTGCAGAGTCACTGTGCCTGGTAGCCTGGGGGCACGCGTACTACCGCGTCAACCCACTGCGCAATCATATATGTGGTTTGTGGTCTATCATGCATAGCCTATAACGTGCGCATGTAGTTCCACCAGGTCACGTTGGGAGTGTTTACTGTACCGTACGGCATGATTCTTTCAAAAAATTCACGCGACACGAGAAAGTGCAGGCACAAAAGGTGGACACAAGTGTTCGTGAAATATACTGACAATTTGCCCAAGCCAGTTATTTGGTTTTGTTCGGATCGGTCCAGTTCAGGTTGGTTCGGGTCAGATCGGGTCGGATTTTGGGAGTTCAGATTGGTTTCGGTTCGGATTTGGTTTATATCTGTAATGTTTCGGGTCGGTTTGGACTGGTCAACCTGACCCGATACACAACATTAATGAACACTGTTTATGTAAAGTTCTGACACTATAGTGTTGTTGTTTCTCTTGTTAGAAATACCTAGAGCAGAGTAACAAGCAGTTGGCTGAAATTGTCGACTTGGTGCGTGGTAAGCTGGAGGGAGGAGCTAGGGTGACCCTGGGGCATTGACTGTCATTGATGTACATGGTAAGCATTACTCTCCAAAGCCACGTTCACATTGGACTTAATTTGGTAAAAAAGTTACTGCAACTGATTGTTAACATTCCAGTGTAGTTATGCTACCAGGCGTCTGCACTTGGATTAATTTTGGTCAGTGGAAAGTCTTTCCTTGCAGAAAAACTTTACCGTAGCGTGATCTCATAGAACCTTATGAGGGCACCCTGCTATTGACCTTTTGACCTAATACCAGATGTGTTATGGATAAACGCGCCAAATGACATCTCGCAGAACAGCAGAAATAGGGTAGCATCTCATGTATGGTATGTAGGCCTATGCGTGTGACTTACAGAGGTCAATATTGGTGACCCACATGGAAGTGACCCACATGGAAGTGACCTGATCATAATGTTAGTTTTACATAATAGTGGCCGACCGCATTGGACTTTTCAGTGATGTAAAACTAACAATGTAATTCTACTGTGACCCAGTTGGCCCTGTTACACTTACAATTTGGGAAGTTTACCGGCTGTCCACATTGGACAACAGTCTCCATAAAGTTGACAACAGTTTCCGTTAGTTTTACCAAAAAAATCCCAATGCGAACATGGCTTAAGTATTCTGTGTAAAGATATCAAGTGATCAGTTATAGGATTCAGTTTTATTACGGATCATACATATTTATGAACCAAACGCTCTTTTTTCATTGGTCGATGTTTCAACGCATTGGTGAAGTAAAAGTAGTTTTCCCAGTAATGATACATGTTTGAACAATTTTAGCAGTGAATTTATAATAACTGTAGTGTGAGAAAGCACTCTTAGATTCATTCCTGAATGTTGTGGAATTAATTGCCTGCAATAGTATACAAATATTGAATGCTTCGAGTGGTGTAGTAAAACTAGCCTCCCGAGGTGATCCATGGACATTCTATTTTCTCGAGGCGAAGCCGAGGGAAAATAGAATGGTCCATGGATCACCGAGGGAGGCTAGTTTTACTTCACCACGAGATAAAGCATTCAATATTTGTTTAATAACACTTCACCCACAGATTCTGCTTGATTTTAATATTTTAAATTATTTAATCTAAACACAGTTGAAATAAACTTCAATTTCAATACAAAATTGGTGAAAAATGTATTTCTCTCTTTGAAAACTACCCTTTCACGAAATGTTTGAACCCAACTCTGCGGCGCGCTCTCTTTGGAACAATACGCGCTACGCACAATGCGCACACCAGCATGCATTTGCACACAAATACCGCGCCGTGGAAATAGTACTTTGGTTGCTAATGGTATAGTACTTTGGTTGCTACTGGTAGAGTACTTTTGGCCGTGCACAGAAAGATAGCAAAAATAGAAAGTATCATGTGACTCGCTCTCGGCCAATCAAGACACAGAATCTGCGGGTGGGGTGTTATAAACCTGACTATTGTCCTATTGGCTACCTATACAGCTCGTGATGTTGTGGAGCAGTTGGGCAACCTTGGTGTGGAGAGTACCAATGACTTCAATTGGATCAGTCAGCTGCGCTATTACTTCAATGGGACGGACGTCAACGTTCACATGATCACCACTGATATTGCCTATGGCTATGAGTATTTGGGTAACTCTGGTCGACTCGTTATCACCCCGCTGACTGACAGATGCTACAGGTTAGTGAGGCTGAGTTCTTGAAATAGAATTTTCAAGCAGCAATAACTTTGGGTGTGATCCTTGATGACAAGTATTGTGCAGGTTCAGTGTCTACAGGGTAGCATTTCAAGAATGAATAATTGGCAACTGGAAGATCGTCAACATAAGGCTAGGTAGCTGAGTTTGTAGACTAGGTGTTTCAGTATTCTGCTGGTTGCAGGTTCCAATCCTGCTCTGATCAACTTTTCTTTGTTGACTTTGAAAAATTGATTGATGTACTAATTTCTTGAGCACTTTATTTGATGAAGGAATCATTGAAAAATGGACTTACTGTTCAAGTTATTCCTGGACATCATTGAAGCTGATCTTCATCTACAAGGATTATATGAGACCTGCTCCCACAAAACCCGGACAAAGTTGCAGAAGTTGTTTTTGCACGAAGGCCATTGGGGTGGAACTGACCATTTGACCAGGTTTTGAGATTTTCTGAATCAGTAACTAGAAATTTACAACCTCCTAAAATATAAATATAGTCCTCCAAGCAGGACTGCGCTTTTCGGCCGATTTAGTGTAAAAAATGTGTGTAGAAATTTATACAAGAAGCATTTCATTACTCGTGTTTATCTCATTATTGGGTTGTCAGTCTTTTATTACTTAATCCTTCTCCAAGGGGTGATAGGGTCACGGTATCTATGAAAATCATATATCATATATCATTTTGAAGCTGAAAACCTCAAGAATTTTGAAAATGCCTAAACCTTAAAAATAACATTCGCAACTTTGTCCAGGTTTTGTGGGAGCAGGTCACATATTGCCCCCAAAATATAGATAGAAACCTGTAATGTGATAGTGTGGTGTTGGTTTTAGGACATTGATGGGAGCATTGAAGCTGAATCTTGGAGGAGCCCCAGAGGGACCGGCTGGAACAGGCAAGACAGAGACTAGCAAAGACTTGGCTAAGGCTGTGGCCAAACAGGTAATGCACAGTTGCTTTGTCTCAATATGATCAGAAGTGTGTACTTGAAAGTGGCATTTATTTAAGACTTTTCCTGTGCATAAATTGAGTTACGCAAACTGTCAGGGCCACTGACAGTTATCATAAGATAACAACATAGTTTTCAAGAGTCATTTCTTGCTTGTTTACAGTTTTTACCAATATTGGCAAAAGTTGGCAGATGTACACATATGCTAAAGTTTGGCACGTAGTACCAGTCATGCATCCACTCTCTTTGCTATCAAGTAGGCCACCCAGTACCCTAACATTTCCCAAACAGAGGTGGTAGAGAGTACCATCAAAGACAGTCATGCAGTGATACAGGAAAGTACAGCGCTGAGGTTGATGTTCATTTCAAAGTCTTACACTGTGTGACTCCTTCCTTCCGCAGTGTGTAGTTTTCAACTGTTCAGACGGTCTGGACTATAAAGCCATGGGTAAGTTCTTCAAGGGCCTGGCGCAGGCTGGTGCCTGGGCCTGCTTTGATGAGTTCAATCGCATTGAGCTGGAGGTGCTGTCTGTAGTAGCCCAGCAGATTCTAAGCATCCAACGTGCCATACAACAACACCTGAAGAAGTTCCAGTTTGAAGGCACTGAGCTGACGTTGAATCCTACGTGTACTATGTTCATCACCATGAATCCTGGCTACGCTGGCCGCTCTGACCTACCTGACAACCTCAAGGTAAGGACTGAATGCACAACATGACTGTTATGGGTGGGACACTTCAACGTCTTTACAACTGTGCATCCATAACTTTGCAAAGAAACAACGGGTGTGTGCACATACCTTACAAACTCTATGCTAGTTGCAAAGGCAAACAACACATACAAGACTTTCTCATGAGTCGGCTATACACAGCCATTGCAGTTCTGGCACAGAAGAGCATCACCTTCCATGCACGAGTACCCAGCATGTGCCACACTGTCTGCATAATAAGTTCATTCTTAATATGGTTCCAGTTTTTGCCCAAGTATAAGGGGTTTTCAAAACGGGGGCTTCGTTTAAAATAGTTTCATTTGCTTTGGACATTAAAGTCTTGATTCTGAAACTGATTCTGACGCCAGGGATGAAGAAGAGACGAGGTTTCTGTTTTGTCTCCAAACCTCAGTTCAGCTATATCAGTTCCTGCAGTGTTTGCTTTCCTTTCTGTGTAGGTGTTGTTCCGTACCGTGGCCATGATGGTACCTGACTATGGGCTGATTGCTGAGATCAGCTTGTACTCTATGGGCTTTGTAGATGCTCGTAGTCTGGCCGGCAAGATCGTAGCCACATACAAGCTCTGCTCTGAACTGCTGTCATCCCAGCATCATTATGACTATGGTATGCGTGCTGTCAAGTCTGTCTTGACAGCAGCTGGTAACCTGAAGCTCAAGTACCCTGAAGAGTTAGAGGCAGTGCTGGTACTCCGCGCCATCAAAGATGTCAACCTACCGAAGTTCTTAGCTCAGGTATAAAACCTAAAACGTTGTCTAATGTTATTGACTGTTTTTAAAAAGTTGAACAGCTCTGTGTTGGTGGTTCCCTAGCGTAGGGCTGGATAGCTCAGTTGGTAGAGCACCGGAACGGTAATCCTGAGGTCGCAGGTTCAAACCCTGCTCCAGTCAATTTCTTTGTTCAACTTTTCAAAAATTGTAATAATTCACCTAGTCAGTTTCCCTTTGTGGTTCAGTTGAGAATTAGTGACTGTCGTTTAGTTCAACAACCTTCTTTGAAAAGAGATCTTTTCAACTTCATTATTTGAATCAGAAGTCTAAAGACTAAAAAATGGTCCTGACACAGTTATAAACTTGTAAGATAAAAAGATGTTGGAGTATTTTTGTTTCAGTAGTTTAGTAAACTTAGAATAGAAAAAAATCTAACTGCATCTGCCCCCCCCCCCCGCCCCAATACCTTTCTGGCAGTAATGATTGCCTGTCTTGATGTCTAGAGCTATGTATAAAATTCATCGTTGACCTTTTATAAAGGGATTGCTAATCATTGCATGAGTGTTTTCACTTAAACATTTACCCAATTAATTGTTGATTCTCATCCTTAATGACAAGCAAATCGCTGTTTTCTTCGGCAAATTTGACTGACTATATTGCATATCTTGTGTTTGTACAGGACGTGCCTTTGTTTGAGGGTATCATTAGCGATCTGTTCCCTGGTGTAGTTCTCCCGACACCAGACTATGTTGTTTTATTGGAGACACTTAATGAGAATATCAAGAAGCTGGGTCTGCAGTCAGTCCCCTGGTTCATTGAGAAGATCATCCAGGTAAGGTATTCTTGAGGTTTGGATTGCTGTTTTAATACCGAGTAGTTAGCAGATATTGGAAATAAAGGTGACCTGTTCTGGCCAAGCAAGTGTATTCTGTGCTTACCAGTTACGTGAATTGACCCCAATTGGAGACAATTCTTGTTCGTATAAGATTCTTCAAACACCATGGGATCTGCTTTTGGCTACTGAAATATAAGTTACTCTACGGGCCGGTCTCAGTGGATCAATTTATTGATTTTCGATTGGTGGATGATAATTCGTCATGTATCATTAAAATCAAGTGAAATACCCTTACAGACTCCACACAGATAAAGTGATTAATTGATATTTGTTGATTACTTTCTTGCTTGATTGATCATTTAACAGGTGTATGAGATGATGTTGGTACGTCATGGCTTCATGATAGTTGGTGATCCCATGGGAGGCAAGACTAGTTCCTACAAGGTGCTGGCTAACAGCTTAGGAGACCTGCACACCGCTGGATTGATGGGGGAGTTCCGTGTGGTTCGTGAAGTTATCAATCCTAAGGCTATCACTATGGGTCAACTGTATGGATGCTTTGATCCAGTGTCTCATGAATGGACAGACGGTAAGTATCTAATTGTGAACGTGATGTTGGTGTATCTATTATTGTGAACCATAGATGTTTTGTGGTAAGGGCCTGTCTCAATTTATATCTGGGAAGAGTTCCAGACAAGTTGCGGACATTGTATCGGGTATAAGTTGCAGGATTCTGAACAACTTCCCCACAATCTTCCCACAATGAAGTTATCAGTATTGACGAGTCCAGCAGTTGCTAATGAAAATTTCCCCTGAACATGTCCGGGACAAATGCAGAGCTTCTCCGGACGAAGTGAATGATTCTACCCGCAACCTTTCCCGGAACTTGTCCTGGATATGAATTCAGAAGGGCCCCATGTCAGATATCTCTAAAACTAAGCATAATCTATGGCTGAGGTGTTATAAAACAAAATACTGACTGATGGAATAGTATTTTGTTGGAAGACTAATATTTTACATTTACTGTACCAATCAAAACCAGTCCATAGTTATATCCCATTTTACGGCCCACTCTCACAGAGGCTATTCCATTGTGGTTCTTGTGGGTAATTGGCCAGTTTTCGTCAGACAAATTGACCTTCAACAGTCATTTGTCCACCAGTTTTTGATATGATTTTCACAGCCCTTTAGTCCATACTTGTTCGGGCTCTCAACTTTTTTGGGGGGTGCTACTTCAGTGACCAATTTTGACTTTCTGTTTGATTTGTGTGTTTGTTTCAGGTGTGTTGGCCAACACCTTCCGTGAGCAGGCATCTTCCCAGACTGAAGATAGGAAGTGGATTGTGTTTGATGGCCCTGTAGATGCTGTGTGGATTGAGAATATGAACACAGTACTGGACGATAACAAAAAGGTAAACTTCTTCAGTTTCAGGATCAGTCGGCTGACTAAGTTAAAATGACGTAACGATGTTATTCTTCTGGATAATGGTGTTAATCATCTTCATATTTTTATTTTTATTCTTGGAGGGGTTTACTAATCTACAAAGAAATAACATTTGTGACTATAGCGAACTGTAATAAACATTATTGAAATCCTAATTTCTTTTTTGGTGGACTTGTTCTGTACATTTGCCCATTCTTTGTTCATCTATCCAGCTATGTCTGATGAGTGGTGAGATCATCCAGATGTCCAACAAGCAGAATTTGATCTTTGAGCCGGCTGATCTAGAGCAAGCATCCCCTGCCACTGTCAGTCGCTGTGGTATGATCTACATGGAGCCTCATCAGCTAGGCTGGAAACCACTCAGGGATTCCTACATGGATACCTTACCTGCTTCACTCAGCCAGGAACACCGAGAGCTGGTCAGTGATCTCTTTGACTGGCTGGTTGATGCTTGCCTTGGTAAGTACTGCTGAAATAGACAACATTGTGTCCATTCAAGTGGCATGTGGACTCGGTGCATGAACAGAAGATAACACTTTGTAACCACTCAAAAGAGCTCTGTGCTAGCGTGATACAGGAATGTATGGATTGTACGTTGACTGTTGACATACGTAACATGTTGTGGGATTGCGACGTACATGTATGTATGGTATATTACGATCT